GTTTCTTTGAGCCACGAGAGTAAAATACCAGTTTACCTTCAACAGACTCACCTGTGATGACTTGTCATGAGCTACAAATCATTTGACAGTGATGCTCTCAAAGGCTTTTGTAAGAGTTGTCATGTTAAACCCAAAGGCTTCAGAAAATAAATAATTGTCCTTCAGTTACGTGTCTCCAGGCAGCAGCTTTTTATGCTTAAAATGGTGAATTTGTCCCTGGCCATAACAGTTAGAAGAGCTTGGAAACCAGGTTTATTTCCTGAGGTTTTGATCGAATTTGTCCGACATCCTAAACATAAAACAGCCACAGCTGTTTTTAAAAATGACATCTTCACACATTTCAGACTAAAGTTGTGTTCATCTGCGAGAACAACAAACGATGGTGTTGACTGGTGATCGTTGTTCTTTCTGTTCGTGTGGCATTCATTTCCCCCTCACGCTGACAAAGTTTCAGTAAAAAATAACTGGCAATGAAAGTTAACTTGGCTACTGATGTAATTACAAGCTTAAACATATTTTGGTTTTTAACAGATAATTTTAATCATCCATCCATTTTCATTCGCTTATCCGGGGTGGGGTCATAGGAGAGGCCCAGACTTCCCCCTCCACAGCCACTCCTCCGGGGGAATCCCAAGGCGTTCCCTGGTCAGCGGGCAAACATAGTCCCTCCAGCGTGTCCTGGGTCTTTCTTTGGGTCCTCCCAGTTGGATGTGGCTGGAAAATCTCACCAGGGAGGCGTCTAGGAGGCATCCAAACTTAATTATAGCTGAAGTAATGTTGCCTGAGCCACCTCAACTGGCTCCTCTTGATGTGGAGGAGCAGCAGATTTACTCCGAGCCCCTCCCGGATTACCGAGCTGCTCACCTTATCTCTAATGGAGAGCCCAGACACCCTACAGAAGAACTTTTTTCACCAACTTGTATCCACAATCGTTTTCTTTCGGGCCCTACCCAAAGCTCGTGACCAACGTAGATCGACGGGTAAATCAATCGTTTTATGTGAACGGTATTCACTGGCTTTTTGTTTAAAACTTTTAATGAGTGATTTTGAAAACGGTTTAGTTTCTGTTTATTTCTTTTTTAATCACATTAAAAGTTCTTTTTAATCTTCTCAACAAAAACTGTGTTAATTAGGTTTTTCTACATCATTTTGGCATCACAACAAGGACACAGAAGACAAAGACAGTCCAGTGTCCAGCTAGCCTGGACCTGTGCAGCCTGCAGACCTCACTGGAGAGAACAGAGGTTTGGCGTCCATGGTTGATATTGTTAAGATAAATGCAAAGTTTAAGGGACACCCTCCAGACTTTGTCATGGTCTGCGTCTTTCCCCATGTGTCTCCTAATGTTTCTCCGTCCCTCTCTAGATTCCCTTTTGTGTTCTCTTAGCGCCCTCATGTGTCCTTTGTCTGCATCTCTGTTATGTGTCAAGTTGTAGCCCTTTAAAATCATTCCTCCCAGGTCCTGTGTCATCCAGTCATCCTCAGCCCCTCTAGTTGTAGCTCCAGCCTCTTGTTCCCCAGCTCAGTATATGTGTGTGTGTGAGTTTATGTGTGTGTCAGTATGTGTGTGTGTGTGTTTGTTTGTCCTTCCCAGTCAGGTCTGGCATCCTGCTCTGCTCCTCTCATTAGTGATTTCACCTGTACCAGTTCTCCACACACCTGCTCCTCGTCTCCTATCACTCCAGCCCCAGTGTATAAAGCCTCTCCTTGTCTCATTGTTCTTGTCGGTCCATTGTGTATTTGTCAGCGTTTGTTCGTGCTCTGTCTGAGCCTTTGTCTCCAGGTCTTCGTGCTCCTAGTAAGTTTTTGGTCTCCAGGTTTTTGGTGCTCTAAGAGAGCCTGGGGTGTCCTCCAGGACTTTGGACTTTTGGCCCGCTGCCATTTTGGATTTATTTTTTGTTCTTCCTAAATAAAAGGATTTTTACTTTTACCAACTTCTGCCTTGAGTCATCCTGGGTAATCTGCATATTTGGGTCCAAAACATCCCCTCAACGTGACAGACTTACGAGGGAAGAGTTGTTCCATGCCTCTCCCTCAACATAAAACACAAACTATAATTTATGATAAATGTCCTGAAAAGTTTAGGGGAGTATGTGTCCCACGATAGACTGGAGAGATTTATTTCATTCATTTCTGAACAAAGCAGTTCAGAGCTTTGACTTCCTTTTTACGTGCGTTGCACAATCCCTCGGTATGAAGAACCTGTTGGGTCAGTGCTGCAAAATGTGAGAATCAAATGTGAGAAACAAAGTGTCTGAAATCCTGTCAAACTTGTGATCACCTGCAAGTTTCCGAGCGTGGTTTGGAATCATGGGAAAAAAGGGCGAGCTGGACAAATGCCAGCATTGTCACGAGTAACAATCTTTAAAAAGTGAAGAGTTTGTCATTCATAAACACTTGACCTTAACTCAACAAAAGCAAATTATTACTCCTTAATTATTTTGCTGAGTGAAGTTTTATGTCAGCCATTACGTTCGTGGGGTTTTGAGTTAAGGTTTGAAGAATGGATTTATGCAGGTATCATCATTTGTTATTTTAAGTCAAGATAATGAATTAAATTGCTTAAAAAGTTAGTCAGAATTACAGTTTACTAAACTACTGTGAGCTATTTTCCAATCCACTTTGCCGTACGCCCTGAATCACATGTGTGTTGTACTTCAATTTAAATGTTTTGGCCACGCTAACTGAAATGGCTAACTGCTAGCATAACAACTGACAGCCATAAAGCAGGTGAAGAGCGCCCCTTATAGCAATGGTATTCAATTCCGGGCTTGGAGGGCTGGTATCCAGTGTAGTAAAATACGTTTTTACTTATGACCAAAAAGCTGTGATATTCCATATAAACATGAAATATCAATCTGATTGGTCTTTGAATGTTTAATCAGAAGATTCCAGGGTTGTTTGCTTGTTCAGGGACCATAAACACACTGGGTATTAATTCAGACAGAGTCAGTATATAGTTTATAAAATTAATTAAATTATTTTTCCTAAACTAATGATACATGACAAGATATGAATAATGAGAGGAGGTGTGGTGGTTGTGAGGTGTTGTGATGGAAGCTAGATGTTGTAGCAACCGTTCTTTGTATCTGAGAGAAATTTTGAAATCTGGGTGTAAAAGAATTTGTTGTTTGTTATGAACTAGATAGTTGTTTATTTATAAACCTCATCAGACTCCTGTATGCAAGCTTACGATACCCTGGTATGAGTTTCTCCCGGCGGTCTGGAGGGGTGAGGTCACCGGACGTCGAAACCACGATACTCAGAGATTAGTAGCTTTAAGGTCAAAGGAGATGGTTTCAAAAGAGCTTTCTTTCCCGATTTGGCTGAATCGGGGGTCAGCTGGAAACTGAACTACTCAGTAAGTAATTCTTGTTTTATTAAACTACTTTGTTATGATTTCTGGCCAAGTTTGGCCAATCAGAAATTGACACGTTTCTGAGTCTTTACCAACATCCCTCAGAAAGCCACGCCCTCCTTCAGATACAAAAACGTTTTAACCTAAATATGTATCTTATTGTAATGTGTATGTATTGTTAAATCAAACACATAGTGATTTGTGATATAAATGGATCATTGTAAGAACAATATTCATTTCAAATTCATTGATTTAAGCACAGATTATTCAAACATTTCATTTAACCCTTCCACTGTCTTATCGGGTGACCCCGCCAGGAAAGTTGACCACTGAGCAGGGTTGATGGTTTATCCCTTGGGTCCATGTGGCAGGGGTGAGGTGGTGCTCACTCCTCACCCCTGCCACATGGACCCAAGGGATAAACCATCAACCCTGCTCAGTGGTCAACTTTCCTGGCGGGGTCACCCGATAAGACAGTGGAAGGGTTAAACATCTTGTTTCATCACGTGATTATTTAACCTATAACTATAACATCGTGGAGTCTTCACTTATTCAGAGTGAAGAATGTTGACGTCTGGCGTTCACACAGTGAGTGCCAGAACCGTGGGAGAGAATGTTTGTTTGAATGTTTTGTCTTCATGGTTTGTGAACACGCGCTGAACAGAACCTTCTGGATTTAGAAGGCCCAAAAGAAGGTGGATTTATTTCTGTAGATGAACGGTTATTATGTTGATCAATATGTAGGTGAAAATTGACCCTTTTGGTAAGTTCCACCAGCATGTTTTAGTGGTTTCTCTGCTCCGACACACGTATTCAGTGTTAAAATCCCCTGTGCAGCAGCTCTGCAGAAGCCTGACTGAAATCAGGTGTGATGAAAGAGTTCAAACTAAAATGTGCTGGATACGAACCCTCCAGGCCCGGGATTGAGTACCCGAGCCCTAATGGGTACCTAACCGCTCCACTAAACTGTTAGTTGATGTTTATGGTTACCAGAGGGCTGCAGAGTTGATTTTACTGGCGCAGTCACAAAAACCCCTTTTGAAGGAATATCTTAGAGTGTTACTTTAACTGTGCCAACACCGAGGAAAATGTTAGCTTTTTAATAATAAACAGTTTAAATTCTAATTCAGTTTGTTTGTGTATGGGTGCTCTACTTAGCAGCCCACAGCCCATGCATGGTACATCACCTAGTGGTCTAGTAACTCAATATAATCATGTTTGTCCTGGGAAGAATCAAAATGTTCCACCAGAGGCAATTTTCCAACACAAATCGACAAACAAGAAAACTGCCTGCTGCTTTCAATGAACCAATGACTGAAAAATGTTCTTTTCCTGTTACCTGTTGAAATACAAACTGGTTTGGCAAATTTCTGCACCTTGTCTGAACACCTCAGATTATCTAGTCAACCCAGTGGCACGGGATCATTTTTAATTCTCACAGCTTTGGTTGGATAGTAAAACAGTTGCGACACCAAACAGCAATGTAAACAGGTTTAGTTCTAAACTGATGGGCTGAAAGAATGACGGATGTCTTTTAACACGCGAGCAGTTATAGCCGAACAACACGGGCAGCTAATAATAGCTCCAATGCACACATGGCTGGTGTGTGAGAATCCATATGATAAACAAACCAGAGAGCAGGTGAGCATTTCTGATTTTATTACATTTGCAAAGCACATTAATAACAATGCATAATAGTTGGAATAAAAATATAAAAACAAACACAGAAGAAAGTATTAATAATAAATAACAAGCATACAAACATAAAAGTAGTGATCAGCAGTCTTGTGTATGTGCACATTAACGTGTTATTTCATTTAAGGCTTAAGGTGACTCACGACCTGCACTCATAGCATCACATTCTGATTTTCCAGGAGGACATTGATGGGCTGATTGGGCTAAAAGTGACATAGTGTTGGTTTATTCAGTAACATGATCAAATTCTCTTATGACCCAAACCCAGTCTCATTTCTGCTGAGCACTGATAAAAAAATATGGACCAGCTTTTTCACAATTGTAGAAAATAACTCACAAACGTACCCTGACACACAGAGACACATAAATAAAGATACAACCAGTAGTGCCTGCACTTAACAACTTTGGTCTGATCATTAAGGATTCTGTAGGGATTCAGTCAATCCTGCGTAGAAGGCAGACATATAACAGACAAGCAGAGAAAGGGGAAATGGCCATGCAGGACTGGTAATGTATCAACGTGTGCGTATTTCTTGCGAATTTTAGATATAAGGTTGTAGTTATGCCTCTAGTTTGGGGTGTTTGTGGCCCTTTCTCGCTCTCTGTGCCGCTGAATGGCTCGCCAAATTCGGCAAAGGAGTCCGCCTCTGAAAACAGGTTACACAAACGTAAACCTTTACGAAAAAATGGTTCAGAGGTTCAGGAAAGATGTGTGGTTACCGTAAACGTAGGGCGCGAAGGTCGTCTTTGCTAACGTCGCTCAGAACGTCAGTCAGGGTGTATTCTTCTGTTGCAAACTGGAATTCAAAAAGAGTTTTAGCTTCTAAAGGTGGAGCACGTAGAGACAGCTGATGGACACTTTAAAGGGGACAAATCATACATTTGACACTTTTTGTGCTGACATGGAGGTCTCTACTGCCTCCACAAACAAAGAAAACCTATCCATCTGTTTCCTGTCCGTGTTTTCCCTAAATGAGCCCAACTGTGACATCACAATAAGGAATATTAGCATAGAACTTGAGCTTAGAGCTTGAGTCCCCACCCACCATAAACCATGGAACTAGTATAACAAAGCCAAATCATAATATGTCCCCTTTAAATACATACTACTGAACCTTGTCTATAGTGTCTGGGTCCGCCCCCTGCTCTTTCAGCCAATCAGCGAGGAGCTTGTCTGGTTCATTGTCCGCGGAGATGTGAAGAATAGATGGAGGTGAAACGTCTGAAACAAGAAGCACTTTCCTCATAATAAAACGTAATTATTACATATAACCTGGCTTTCCACTCGACGTGTAAGCAGCGCGTAACGAAGAAGAAGCTTTTCCCCGCGAGCTCAGTGTCACGTCCTTGCCCGACGTCAGAGTTTCAGAAGCTAATCAGTAGCAAAAGTGTTCCACCTGGTCGGTCCCTTGAGGTTACAAAATCACAGAGAACTGAGTTCACACATGATTAATAACAAGCATCGAGAAAGTCGGCAGCAAGTATCAAAAAAAGTCTCGTTTATTTTCTGTTTTGTTTACCTGAATTGTGGAGGCATCACAGGGAATGACGTATATTTTAAATTTAGCAGGGCAACGGAATACTGAGCTTCTAGGATATGATCAGGAGGCGCCGCTCTCAGCTGGTGGAATCACACCCGTCGAGTACAACGGCAACTATTAGCTGCGTACTACGCTTCGTGGACATCACAAGTCCAATGGAAAGCCAGGGTCAGAAGAAAAGAGACACATTAGAAAGTGTGTGCTCTTCATCCAGCCGTGGAACCGTGGACCAACACTCTACCTTTGCAAGGGTGGTGGAACTAAGGTTGGGCTTTGCCAAAACTGTCCACTTGTGTATCCTTTACAATATTCATTATGTCCTCTTTTAAAATATTAAACGGATTCTTTTAGCTTCGGACATGAAGGTGTTTCGAGTTACCTTTACATGTTTCGACCGTCGTCTGCGGTCTTCATCAGAAATGTCACAGGTGTTTGTGTGACGCGTCTTTATCAGCTGTTCTTCTGGTGGGCGCGACCAACCCGGATCTGTCATATCTGCCGGGGTGGTCAGGCCCACCTCCGCAGGCTGGTCTATGTAACATTGGAACATGAACATGAACAGAGACGAGGGGACCTATCTGCTGTCTCGCACCTGGGATTCCCTTCTCCAAAGACCAGCCAGCGGAGGTGGGCGTGACCGACCCGGCGGATCTGACAGATCCGGGTCGGTGGCGCCCACCAGAAGAACAGCTGATAGAGACGCGTCACACAAACACCTGTGACACTTCAGGATGAAGGCCGCAGACGACGGTCGAAGCATAACTCAAAACACCTTCATGTCCGAAGCTAAAAGAACCTTGTTTAATAATGTACACCTGTGTTTTGCTAATTTGGAGGAAGCTTATGATTGTTTCCCCTGAGTGACTTTGTGGGGTGGCGTGTACTCAGGGAGTCTGGGATGGATCGCTTTTCATTAAAGGCCATTCGGTCCATGCATCAATCTAGTCCATAAAGGTGCTCCATGGCAGCCATCAGTGTATGTAAACGATTGCAGGGTGAACGCTTTGGAGTCCCCTGATGCTCTTAATCATTATCTTTATCTGCTTCTATAGCTTCTCACAGAAATAATGAGATGAGGTTTATGTCTTCATTTGCGTGTCATGCAAAGCACAGAAAAAAGATAGAAACAGTTGATCTAGAGGACACTTTCAGCACACACAGGCAACATGACAAACATGGAGAACAGAGCACTGGCTCTGTTTTTACCTGGTGGTCTGTGTCTGAGTCTGACCAGCTCTAGGTCATGGGTCCTCTGCTGCAGCGTGGTCTTCAGGACCTGCTGGTACTCCTTCTCCTTTTGCAACAGCTCCTCCAGCAACCTGCACCAACATACAGAGGGTAAAGAAAAAAAAACACCCGTTTGACAAACTCTATATTTTTTTCACTTTTACATCCTTAAACGACACTAAGGGCGATCCTCCAATTTCAATGTTTCATCGAGCCATCGTTTGCTTTGATAGCCTTTAGTCCGTTGGAATATTCCCCATCAACGTTGTACCTCTAGATACAGCTACATTTTTTTCACAATATTTCCTTAATGTTTTACTTTCATATCATTTAACTAGATTTTTTTCAACACCTTTTTCTGTATTCTTCATAAAAAATCAAATTCACGTGAATAAAGTCATTTATTGGAAATAAATAAATGGAAAATACACACTTTTTAAAATGTTATTATTTACTAATGCTACAGAGTTACCACCCACACAATGCTTTCAGCGGAAATGGAACGTTTTTATTTATTGTTGGTTTGTTTTAAAAGAATGTTCTTTGATGCACCAGATGTGTCGAAGCAGTAATTCTTTAAAATGTTCAGAAAATCCTAAAAAGTTTCCACCGTCACAACAGAAGTCTGTTTGATCAAAAAAAAAAAAAAGTTACTACATGTTTGCCACATGAAGAAACACATTTAATCAGATCAAACTGCAGAATGTTTGTGCAGAAACAAGAAGCATCTAGAATCCTACATCCCAAGGCTCTTTGTCTGTCTTTGGGTGTACAGCGCTTCTGCATTTTTTCTGGAAACTGGAAATTATTAAAAATGGTCTTGGTCAGCTGGTCTCAACGCGATTGACGAAATTTTCTCAACGATGAGAGAACGAGAGAAGGGGCTCCCGGATGCCCCTCTGGGACAGATCCAGTTGGACACATCATGGACTCCTGGAAATAGTGGAACCTGATCTGCCTCTCTCAGCTGTCTGTAGAGGATTCTGAAGACGTCTGGATATTCCGGGTGTTGGTGTCAAGTTTCCTGCTCTTTGGCCTTGGAGGTTACCTGACTTACCGGAAAATTAACGAGCTATCAAGGACTACTGGCTCACTCCCAGAGCTCAGAGATGGATTGCGCTGCGCTGTGAATTCACAAATTCATATAATTGTCGAGATGAGTTGTAAGCTTGGAACTTTGACTGAGATTCATGCGTTGGCACAAAAGATGGATATGATCAAGGAGCGAGTGGACAAATCAGCATGGATTGGGATAAATTAATCTATGCCATTATTGGTTTTTGAGAGGTTGAGGACCAGCGGAACTCTAAGGCAGAGAGGAAATTATCTCTGTCCGGCCCCAAAACTATTTCTTATCTGAATCTGGTGTCCTTGAGCCTGTGAGGCTGAAACGAATACCCCCCCCCCCCCCCCCCCCCAGAAGAAATGTGGAATGCTGTCTCCCTATTGACCCTTTGCACATGACGTCATGCCACTCATGTGACCTCCCCCTTCGCCATGATGGACGGTAAAAAGACCGTTTACACCCATAGAAACTCCAGTGAAGGTAGTCAAAACAAGCCAGTTTGTAGCTTTTTATCACTTTTATTTAGTTGATTTGACAGTAAAATGGTTTTAGCTTCCTGCGCGGTTGGCTGCACAAAGAGACAAGGACGTAAACTCAACTCATTTTTTCTTTTTAATAACTTTGATGGAGACTGAGGACGGAGATGAACTGCAGTGATCAATCAATCAAGCAGACTAGCAGGCCTCAGATTTGCAGCGAACATGTTTTTACCAGGTAAGATTAACGTTCATTTATTTCATGAGGAAGACAGGGACAGGGATAAATGTGATGTGTTTATACTAGTTATTGATAATCCTGATGGATGGGTATTTCACCACGGAGGCTGCGCTCCGTCCACTGTAGTGTAAAGCGAGATAATTTTTATTAACAATATTAAAGCTCCGGTGTATGATTACGTGCGTTAAAATTACGTTATTCATTTATATGAGCGTCGGCGTTCAGAGATCTTCTCATTCCGGTGTAAGAGCAGCAGCTGAACCCGGTAACAACACCAGCAACAGAAGCTGGTAGGGATCCGGACTTTTTAACAATCAGCTTTGGTGTAAAGTGAAACGCTGTTTACAACATAATGTTATAAATCCAGAGGGGTGAATTTAGGCAAAGTCAGCAACATGTTTACATTGCTGAACAGCTGCAGAGAGAACGTAAGCTAACGTTGGTAAGCTAGTTAGCATACCGTTCTCTATGAGCCCCCGCTAGATGTACTACTTCTTCTGATAACTGAACTGGGCATGAACTAGTTGAAGGAATGCTGAAGGAGTTTTGTTTTTGTTTTGATCGCAAAAACAATTTCAGGCTTTACTTTTCTCTTTGTTTAGTAATTGTGTCGTTCACTATTTACATGCTTTTGCCGTCGACCATGGTGGACCCACGTGATTAGATGACGTCGGTGCAAAGGGTCAATCCCAGCCTGGTTGGGACTGCGAGCTGTGATGGCCGCTGAATCATTCCAGGAGTCACTGTGCTCTGTAAACCCAACAACATCCCACCCCTTTGCAGACTGAGGTGAAGAGTGCTGCTTATCGCGGCTGCTGCTGATGTGTGGAGAGTCCCAAAAGCCTACCCCCCCACCTAGTGGACACTCATGTTGTGTAATGTCTGAAGTCTGTTGCATTTCTCTCTGAGGTGTTTTTTGCATAAGCTGCCCTCCCTGTGGAGGGTAACTCTGAAGTGCCTTTTTCCCCCCACCTGATCCAATCCTCATCTAACCCCTCTGTTCTCTATTAAGGTAGCGCGCCTCGGGTTGCGAATGGCCACAGTCACCAATTCTTGTCATGTGTCTATGTCTATGTATGTATGTCTGATCTCAGAATTGTGTGTACTGAAACTCTAATTTCCCTCTGGGATTAATAAAGTATCTTTGAATTGAATTGAATTTGAAAAGGTATTTAATGTAAAGGAGCGGGGGTGGGGGGGGGTGGATTTTGCCTAAAAGCACAGAGTGTAATTTACTTGTTCACTATCGAATTCTGTGTATCCGTGTGTCCTTTTTTATCAATACACCTCACCAACATTTATTGGCATGAAATTTTACATTTTACATACATAAAAGGTGATTGATGCTCCACGGTCATGCACCATCTTGAAATACCGTAGCTGTTTAGGGACATACAAGATATAATGCTTCGCGTTTGCACTATAACACGAAAGTTCTCCCTCTCCCTCTAAACATTGTGCAGGGCATGGCGCCGGTTCTCTCCGTGGCAGCCTTGTTGCTTTGGGCAAATTCTGCTTCTTCCCATCGTTTTGCTTGCCCTGCTTCAACCTCGTGATCACTGCATTGAAAGCAGGAAGTCACTGATGACTGTGATGGTGCATGCACGAGCGTGGAGGCGAGGGAGACAAGTGACGTGGTAAACGCGACAAAAGTGGCAGCACTGGATTGAGAAGATGCGGGTGCTGAAACTGACTGTTGAGGCCCATTCTACGTATATTTTAGTCGTGATTTTCATCTTGAGAGGCGCTATATAAAAGCTAATTTTCTTTCTTTTCTTCTTTTACTCACAGGACACGAACAGAAGGCTCTTGGTTTTTTGAGAGAGATGTTGGAAACAGCAGAGCAGGAGAAACAGTAAATTAAACACGCAAACAGTTGAAAGTTGGTGTGTGGTGTTTTCTGTGTGCGACCCATGACATAGCAGTCAGCTGACTCCCTCCCCCCTGCAGCTGTGTGCACACTGCCTAATTGCCTTTTTGATGCGTGTGGGCTACCGTAGTTGCAATACCCACTCTGTATTGTCTGGCGCTAAAGAGTTGAATGTTTCCACACACTGTGCTTTTAAAGAGTTCAGCAAAGAAAATGTAATCAAATTGATTCATTTGTGGATCTTGATTAATACCAACAATCTATTGCCATACAGCAGTAGTACTCACTACTGGTCTTGAAGCGCCGGTATCCTGTATGTCTTAGGCCCTGTCCACACGTAGCCGGGGATCTGCCAAAAGGTAGATATTTCTCTACGTTTTGGCCTGTCATCCACATGAAAACGGAGTTTTTTCACACGAAAATGGATCTTTTTAAAAACTCCGGCCAAAGTGAAGATCTGCGTTTTCTCCGTTTTGGGTGTCTGCGTGTGGACGGACAAAACCGGAGTTTTAAGGTCCGCAACGTCACTTTCCGCGACAAAAAAATGCTGACATCACGTGTGCGACCTGTGTTTACACTAGCCGACAGCATGGATGCCCTCAGAGCTGCGCTCGCTTTATCAATTGTCCAAGCGCTTTCTGCTTGTTTGTTTTTGCAAGCGGAATTACTGCTCCTTGCGGAAGACCACAGACGAAGGACGAGGTTAAGAACGGGGGAAGTACTGCCACCTACAGGTCTGGCATGTTCTTAACAACGTATTTATCCGGGTACGTGTGGACAGAGTTTTTTTTTAAAACCAGGTGGTGTGGATGCAAGTTTTTAGAGGGGCGGATATTCGTTTTTAAAAAAAAACCGGCTACGTGTGGACTAGGCCTTAATTTTAACTCTGCATCAACAAATCTGATTTCATCAGCAGGTGATTAACAGGCTTCTGAGCTGCTGCACAGGTGATTTAACCACTGAATCAGGTGTGTTGGAGCAGAGAAACAAGGAAAACATGCTGGATACCAGCTGTCCAGGACCAGGAGTGAGTACCACTGCCATACAGTGCTGCATGGTTATTATTTTCTAATTATTCAGAAAACTCAGGTTACAACTAAAGCATTTATTAGTGTAAAGTTCTTTTGTTACTTTGCTTGATTTAGTATTTATTATAAAATGCACATTTTATTATTTCTTAATCCTGTTTTGGACTGATCCTCTTTAACCCGTTCACTGCCATCGATGACTAAAGTCGTCATTTGAACTTTTTTTTACTGTGTGAGCGTCGGAACGAGCCCCCGCACCGTGAGAACAAACATCTCAGCTCTGAAGTCGACCTTCATCCTCATGCGCCACACGTCACATGATCAGGAAGCAGAACATCCATGTGTTAGGAGATCGTTTTGGGCCGTTCCCGTAACAAAAAGTGAGGCACGAACCGGAAAAGCTTCTGCCGATCACAATTCAACAACGGATTATGAAAGAACGGATAACGCTCGAAACACGCGGATTCTTCCTGATGTAAGAGGCGAGTCTCCGTTTTGTTTTGGTTGTTTTGGTGTCGTCATCATCCTAGCGCACAACGTTCTGTGATTCTTAAAAAAACTGTAAAAACGGCGAGAAACGCTGGCAGCGAAGAGCTTTACCAACCAGGAAACGGCTGGCAGTGAATGAGTTAATCAGAAATGTTAGAATTGAAACTTGCTTTTAAAACCTTTCCTGTCTCAGAGATAAACACAGCCATGGTTGAAGTCATGTGGTAGCAGTCTCCTGTGATCTCATGCATGGACAAAAGATGCACTCAAGGAATGCTTAGGCATGTTTCTCTGCCCTTCCCCTTGATCGACTTTCAGAAATGCAAAGAATTCAGTCACGTGTGTTCAGTTGGTGGGAGCAGACCTGCAGCTGTTTAATTTTCCATGGCGTGAAGGCAAATAGTTTTCACTCTGCCTTTAGGGATGGGAAAATCTGTGTTTTGTCTGCCTGTACCTGTTGGTCTCCTGTTTGAGCCGCCCCAGCTGTGCACCCAGGAAATGGTGTGGTCGTTGATGCTCTTGGGAGCGGGTGGAGTTTACTGTGCTGACAGTTGTGGGGGCGTGGTCAGTTGTCGTAACTGGGTCGTCGGAGTTCGAAGCAAGAACAGGGCCAAACTCTGCTTCTTCCTCATCCACCTCATCGTCTTTCTCTGCACCTTCACACTCTGATGCTGGTCCAAAGTGGGTCTGAAGCTCTGAGGGACAAGTATTAAGTATTAAGAGAAAGTTCCCCATCCATCAATACTACTTTGTTTCTGCTCAGTTTCATTCAGGTCTCCACCTGATTAGACAGGATTTTTCTCCTTTTTAAATAGTCTTTACCAGTAGTAATAGTACCAATAGTCTTAAACAGTAGCTGCTGCTGGGTTTGGATCACGGCCCTGTTTTATGACCTTGTTCAGTTAAAACTTCACCTGTCACACACATCTGACCTACTGAGGAGTCCATGCTTGACTCAGTGATGAGCCCAAACCATCACCCCTTCACTGTCATGCTGATGTTTCCTTTGAACAAATTCAGGCCAGGCCCTTATGTGAGGTTGTGAGTGGCTAAAGGAGAGGACAGACAGGTAGGAGGATGGGGAGGCGCACATGGCCGTTGGAGTGGTTAAAGAGAGGTGTCGCGTTTGGGCAAGACGCTTCACTCTCCTTTCCTGCTGGTGGTGGTCGGAGGGACTGGTGGCACTAGTTCATCACCAGCGGCATGTGAATATTTGTGCGTGGGTGAATGACTGAAAGTGTTGTAAAGCACCTTGGGGGGTTGTAGAACCCTAAAAGGAGCTATGTTAAAACAGGCCTTTTACCACATTATTGTAAACGAACAGGCCTAAACGCTGATGCTCAAAGCAAAACGTTCTCCATTTAGAACAAATGTGACTGATTTCATTCTGTTGTTTCATTTGTTTAAAGGAGTGTTGCCTCAGAACGGAACAACAGCCATTTAAATAAGGCTTTGCAACATTTTTAATGTTTACAGCAGATGTCTGAACACTGAGCTGTAGCCGAAGCTGCTGAGTCTGCCCCTATGGGAAACAGATTATGGTCTAGAGCTGTGGTCCTTAATAAGTTGCCCGCAGGCTATGTGCGGCCCGCGGGCCCCCTCTTTGTGGCCCCCGAACCCCTCGGACCATTATAATTGAGGAGAGAGAAACCTGTCTGCTTTATATTTGGGCTTAGAGTTTAATTCTGTGGCTGGTACACAATTAACCCTTTTTTATCACGTTGAGAGCAGGAGGTTTGGACCCAAGATGCAGAACACCAGAACGACTGGAGGCAGGAGCGGATGTCAAAGGTTAAAGTCCTTTTATTTAGGTTGCAGCACAAAACTCAAAAGGGTGCAGGATGCTAAGCCTGAAAACTAAAACTCAGGAGGCCAAAAACCAAAAGCTCACTTATGAGCACAAACCTAACGTTTCACGAGGTGGACAAAACAAAGCTGACAAAAGACAATGGACCGACAAAACACTGAGACGCAGACAGGGTTTTATACACAGGGACTGGGTGATTAGGAGACGAGGAGCAGGTGCGTGGGGAGAGAGAACTGAGGGGAGACTGGTGAAATCAATAAACTAAATGGGAAGGGAAAAACAAAGCAGAGGGGAACCTAAGATAAATAACTAATGACCTAAGGAGTGACAGAACTAAATACATGGAATGGCAAGGGAGACTAATTAACAAGTGAGGACAAGGTGGCGCCGGTGTTGTGGCAGGCCGTCTGTCTCACGGACACTCTCCTCTGTACATGTTTATTCCTTTTTTGGTTCTTGCGCTTTGTGTGGACAGTGCATCCCTACTGCTGACTTATGATCGAGCAACGCTTCTGGAACTCCGGCCTGATGTCGGTTTCATCAGCCCCGTGATTGTGATGAGCCGGGGGGATTTTAGTCCCCCGTGCTCATTTTGGAGCCTCTTGGTGCCACCTGTCCCTCCGCGGTGTGCATCCGGTGGTCATCAGCGGAGGTAGCGCCGCCGGCGTCATGGCTGTCGAGGTGGGAAACATGTGCACCTACGTGCCAAACCACCCCGGTCCTGGAAGGCGCTCGCCGGGCTGTGTGAGCCTGGGCGTCTTCTCGTGGTGCCGTCGCGTTTGTTGGATCCTCCACCATCCTGCTTGGTGCCATTGGTGGGCTTCGACTTGGATGCTCCGTCGCAACGTGTATTCCGGGGGTTTTGCTACCGCTGGAAGGGTGCCAACCTTGCTAATCTGCGTCATGTGGACTATGTGTCAAATGCACCTGTGTCTCTATTCTGCTGCTACTGGACCAAAGACGTTATCGTCAGCTTGCCTCGGCCTGGTTAATGCAAGGTCGGTAATGAACAAAACTTTTATTCTGAAAGACTTCTTTGAGGTACAAGGGCTCAGTTTTTGGGGTGTTTGTGAAACCTGGATGCCGATGGGAGACACGAGTGCCCTGTCAGAATTATTACCTGAAGACTGTAGTTGTTTTAATGCGCCAAGAACTGCAGGCAGGGGCAGGGGGCTCCTCATTGTTTATAAATCAGGTTTCAGCTGCAAACAGATTATCCCTTTAAGTCCTTTTTCTAGTTTTGAGGTTTGCTCTTTTGAACTTGGACCTTTTCCTCTACTTTTTGTGGCGTTGATTTATCGCCCGCCTGGACTGAATGTGGAATTTCCAAAAGACTTTGCTGATTTCTTGGCTATGAATGTGTTGAAATATGATCAGATTTTGATTGTAGGAGATTTTAACATCCATATTTGTTGCCCTGATAAACCAATGGTCGAGGACTTTTTGCACCTGTAAAGTTCACTGAATCTTTCTCAGTGGGTTAAGGGTCCTACACATGTGAAGGGACACACTCTTGACCTGGTTCTTTCCTCTGGTCTTCGGTCCATTAATATGGACACGTTGAGGCCTGTTTTCTAGGACCACTCTCTGATTTTATGTAATTTTAGTGTTCCGTCTCGGCAGGTCCCAGCTTCTCTGAGAGGCGCAGTCGTGCCATAAATCCTGCTAAAGTGGCGAGATTCAGTGAGTGCTTTAGTCTAGTAGGACAGGATCTTCTCTTAGCCCACCTCCCTGTTGAAGAGTTTATTACCCGTTTTGATATGCTATGCACATCTGTTTTGGATGATGTTGCTCCCTTTAAGATTAGGAAAGGAGGGCATAGGGCAGAGCCGTGGATGTCTGATGAGACCCAGGCCTCCAGGCAGGCCTGCAGGAGAGCTGAGCGAAAGTGGAAGCAAGACAAACTTCATGTGTCCTATGAAATTTATAAAAAAAAATCACTTTTTGATTACCAGAAAGTGGTACGACAGGCCAGGATCAGATATTATGCCAACATTGTGGAATCAAATTCTCATGACCCACGCACTCTCTTTAAGGTAACTGATTCAGTACTGGAAACTGCAACTTCTGCCTCCAGGTCCACGGCTGCGATGGCCGGGACATGTGCAGATTTTCTTCACTACTTTGTGGACAAGATAGTGATGATTCGGGCTGCTACTGTAGGCCACACTCCTGTTTTCGTGGCACCTTTGCCACTTGGGGCAAACCTGCCAGCCTTCCAGACTATATCTATGACAGAGCTAGACAAACTCATTTCTAAGCAACAACCTTCTGGTTCCCCTTATGATGCTCTTCCCCCAAGGATGCTTAAGGAGGCTTTTTCTGTTCTTGCCACTTATATACGGGTTATCTTTTATACCAGTCTGGCCTCTTGTGTGGTTCCCCTTACTTTTAAGAGGGCTGTTGTACAACCGCTGCTGAAAAAGAAGGGGATGGAGGAAACTGTGTTAGCCAATAACAGACCTATCTCACATCTACCTTACTTATCTAAGCTGCTTGAGAGGGTTGTATATTCACAGTTGGTTGCATTTTTAGACACTCACGAACTCCGGGAGATCTTTCAGTCAGGGTTCAGAGCAGGTCACAGTACCGAGACTGCACTTTTAATGGTTCTTAATGATGTTTTTTTTAGCTTATGATGGGGAGGATGCTGTCATTCTTTTGATGTTAGATTTGTCTGCGGCCTTTGACACGGTCAATCATGACATACCTTTGGATCGGCTACAACAGTGGGCGGGAATTACCGGTGCAGCCCTACAATGGCTACACTCCTACTTATCCGACAGGAGTTTTTGTGTCGGTGTAGGTGAAACCTCCTCGACCTGGGCGGGACTCAAGTGGCGTGTGCCACAAGGGTCTGTACTGGGTCTGCTTCTTTTTGCCATCTACTTACTACCGTTGGGGAATCTTCTTCGGCGGTTCGGCATGCGTTTTTATTTTTATGCTGACGACTGTCAAATCAACTCCCCCTTCAGCGGGGGGGGGGGGGGGGGGGGGGGGGGGTCGATGGGTCAATATCAAAGCCTGTAGATGCCTTAGAGGGTGTGCGCTCCTGGATGGCTGCAAACTTTTTGCATCTGAATGACGCTAAGACTGAAGTAATTGTACGTAGCCCCGGTGTGTCTACACGCCCATGCGATGCTGTGAATCTGGGCCCTTTAGCATCCAACATGAAGACCACCATCCGAAATTTGGGAGTTCAACTGGACTCAGCCCTTAAATTCGACGCGCAAATCAACCAGGTTGTGCGATCGTGTTTTTTTTACTTACGCCGACTAGCCAGAACTAAGCCCCTGCTGTCCAGAGTACATCTAGAGACTGTCACACATGCTTTTGTTCTTTCAAGGCTCAACTACTGCAATGCACTTCATGCCGGCCTTAGTCAGGGTGCGGCACGCTTGCAGTTAGTACAAAACTCAGCCGCTAGGTTCGTGACAGGCACTAGGCACAGGGAACATATCACCCCTGTGTTGGCATCCCTTAGTTGGCTGCCTGTGCAATACAGGGCAAAATTCAAGGTCTTGGTACTGGCATACAAGGCCTTACAAGGAACTGCTCCAGCACATCTTGGCAACCTTTTGCATAGGCATGCCCCCTCGCGGGCCCTTCGCTCAGCCGGCAGGGAGCTGTTGATCTTTTCATGCACTAAGTGCAGGTCACGGGGGGACCGTGCGTTCTCTGTGTGTTGGCACCTGCACTTTGGAACCAGTTGCCTTTGGTGGTGCGTCAGTCACCCTCATTGGGGGTTTTTAAGACTCGCCTTAAGACCCATTTTTTTGTCAAGGCATTCCAGGATTAGCAAATTTTACCCGGTTTCGATGGCCCGGCCTTTTAATCTTTTTCAGGATTTTATTTTTTGCTTTTACTCTCCTCTTTTAATTGATTTTATGTTGGTTTTACGATTGTTATATTTTATTCTGATGGTTTTATGTTTTTATTGTGTTGTGTTCAGCACCTTGGGCGTCTGCATTGGTCGCAGAAGGGGCTTTATAAATAAATGAAATGAAAGTGGGGAAGGAAGATACAAGTACTGAAAACTAAACTACTCTGAACATGCAATACTTAGGATAGGGGAGCTCATAAACCTAAAACAAGAACTTAAAGGGGAGATCTAATGCAGGGGAACACGGGTAAGCCTGGAAGGGGCTGAGGAACACAGGTACGCTGAACATGAACATGGACACCTGGAGGGGGACACCTGGAGATGGCTGGGGAACCAAAAGGATGCAGAAACACTAGGGAGGGATCATGAGGGAAACCAGGAGGGAGCTGGGGACTACAAGGACACAGAACATGACATTTTTATTACGTCACTTTTCATGGCCTGACGTAGCTGATAAAACTGTGACATTTATCTCCACTTCTCCGCAGTGTTGGAAAACAAAAACATTACATTTGAAGGAAAATGGAAAATGCCCCACATTTGAATATATTCAAATTCACACCCACCTGGAATAAGGATGGTGATGGCAGCCTGCACAGCCCGCCGGATGATGTTATCCATGGCAAACATCCAGTGGGGTTTTATGTGATGATTCCTCAGCACCTTGTTCACCTGGGAATTTCATCAGATATGAAATACTTCTCAACCATCTCGAGCTTTTAGATAAAATTATCTGAAAAAAAAAATTGGTTTTAGAGCTACTTAATATGTTCGTTTTTAATTTAGGTTTGATTATGTTTTTTTTTCTCCTACATACTCTGTGTGTGTGTGTGTGTGTGTGTGTGTGTGTGTGTGTGTGTGTGTGTGTGTGTGTGTGTGTGTGTGTGTGTGTGTGTGTGCTGACCGAGTCCTGGAAGCCAAACAGAACCAGCTGGATCTGGTTGATGGAGTTGGAGTCAAAGTCCAGGTCCAGTTTGAGTTTGGAGATGGTGGCCGCCATGACGCGCCGCTCTGGGGAATGGATGAAGTCTCGAAGGATGCAGATGATCTGCTTAATGTGTTCAATGGAGAGCTGGAGCTCCTCACTGCCCTGTTGACACACACACACACACACACACACACATGCACGCGCGCGCGCACACACACACACACACACACACACACACACACACCAAATAGAACTGCATTTGTTTCAGGCAGGATTGATTCAAGTGAGTGAGCAGCTCTTGAAGAACGTGATGAAGGATGAGGAGATAATGTGTGTGTCATACGAATGGGGGAGGAACCCTTCTGACCTCCATTAACCGGATGGGGGACGGTGGACAGATTTTTCACAGTAATCTCAAAGATTGTAACTGATAAACGATAAAACTTTACATGCACTCTAGAAAATCCTGAGTCCTGTACACAGAGGTACAGTTTAAAACCGGCCCACTCAGACCGCTGTTGATGACATCATGCTTTGAACCACGGCTTTAAGGAAACGATAAAAGTTCCATAAATACAAACTCATGTTTAATTATGTCAAATGCTTTATAAAAAGCAGTTCGTTGTATGCGATCATCGTCAAAAATCAAGCAATTATGTTTCGGTCACACCAGGACCGGTCCAGTGTTGTGAATAATTCTACCCTCCATGAACCACATTCACCACTTCCTGTTTATAGAGACTACGCTTGCTTTGAGTGACCTCATCCACAGGTAAAGTCCCAACTGATGGAGGCGAGGCTGTCAAGCACAGGCGCCACCGGTACCTCCGACCACCACCGGCAGGCAAGGTGGGTTAAGTGTCTTGCCCAAGGACACAACAGCAGAATTCTCTGTCCGGAGCCGGGATCGAACCTGCAACCTTCCGATTACTAGACAACCGCTCTACCTAATGGATGTGAAGCTGCCGTACACGGGCACCACCGGCATATACGACCACCACCAGCAGGGTGGAGTGTCTTGCCCAACAACACAATGACTGACATGACTACGGGTTTGAACCTGCAACCCACCAATTGCAGGGCGAACCACCGTTAGCCAAAGCTACTGAGAGCAAAACAATCAAATCAAATCATCTCTAACTTATACAAGGATCTCTAGATGGACCTTACAGATGTTTTGGGGGGTTTCATACCAGTGGTGAAAGCACCTCTAGCTCCCTCTGCTGGACACATAGCAGTTCAGTAGGAGAATCTTTTTGAGGATATCCACCCTTTCCATAAGATACCAAAACAATTATAATGCACTGTGTTATATATTGTTTAAATGAGAATAAATGTATTCTTCACACCTAAGCAGCTCTAAACCCAGAAGATGAGGCCAAAAATGTCCGAGGTTGGCAACTGAAGAGACACATAATAGATGTGCACAGTGAGCACTTACATCTAACCCACATTTAAAAACACACATTTAGAGAAACACTTGTTATGACTACTTTAAAATATACGTTCAGTGTTTTTTTTATCTTGACCAAAGTTAGACAGCATATTGAGTCTAAATAAAATAAAAAAGACATGTTCCACTTGCTTTAACCCTTTAATTTAAAAAAAACGCAAGAAAAATTTTAAGCTTTCCATTTTTACTATTAAAAGGAGGCAAAAAAGTATTTCATACTAATATTAATACTGTAATATTAGTATGAAATGAACATAATCAAACTTTCATTTAACAAATCTAATTTTGTTTTATTTTATTAGTTTTTTTTGTGTGTTTTTGTTTTTTTGCACAAAGCAGGATTTAGAAAGATAGGGTTATCTGTGTGTTTTCGATATAAAAGTATAATGAACCCATCAGTTGTTCTACTGAATCCTGGGCCTGGACGGCCGGTGTCCAGCATGTTTAAGGCCTAGTCCACACGTAGCCGGGTTTTTTTAAGAACAAATATCCGCCCCTCCAAAAACTTGCATCCACACCACCTCGTTTAAAAAAAAACTGTCCACACGTACCTGGATAAATACGTTGTTAAGGACATGCCAGACCTGTAGGGGGCAGTACTTCCCCCGTTCTTAACCTCGTCCTTCGTCTGTGGTCTTCCGCAAGGAGCAGTAATTCCGCTTGCAAAAACAAACAAGCAGAAAGCGCTTGGACAATTGATAAAGCGAGCGCAGCTCTGAGGGCATCCATGCTGCCGGCTAGTGTAAACACAGGTCGCACACGTGATGTCAGCATTTTTTTGTCGCGGAAAGTGACGTTGCGGACCTTAAAACTCCGGTTTTGTCTGTCCACACGCAGACACCCAAAACGGAGAAAACGCAGATCTTCACTTTGGCCGGAGTTTTTAAAAAGATCCGTTTTCGTGTGGATGACAGGCCAAAACGTAGAAAAATATCTACGTTTTGGCAGATCCCCGGCTACGTGTGGACAGGGCCTTAGTTTTAACCTGCTTCAACACACCTGATTTCAATCAGCAGGTGATTAACAGGCTTCTGCAGAGCCTGATGAGCTGCTGCAGGTGATTCAACCACTGAATCTTGCGTGCCGGAGCACAGAAAGCACTAAAACCAGGTCTGGGCACCCCTGCACTAACGATTAAAACTCACCATTCATGTACCAAAAAGGCTGATTTCTTTCTGGTTTTCCAGCTTCTCTGATTTAGCTTCATCAGTTTCTTTGAATGCACGAAAGCAGGGTTATTTAGAAAGGAATAAAACGTGCCAGAACAAGAAGTCAGGCTGCTGAAATAATTTTGTCTGAAGCAGAAAAGCAGGTTGACATCAAATAAGAACCGTTTCTGGCATTTCCTGTCCACAATGTCAGAACCGACACACGTCTGCTTCGGTTGTTTTCTCTCAGTAGATTCTTCCAGAAAACTTTAGGAGTGTGATAACCATAAATATGACATGATGGAAACAAGCTTAGTCCGCCTGATGGTTGTTAGAACAGCAGGGTGTGTGAACACACAAGTCGAAGCACCCTACAGCACACACACACACTGACCTGCATGTGGTTCTCCCTCAGGTTGGAGATGACCTTCTCCTGGTCGTCATTGAGAACTTTGAACAGAATGGCCCGTCTCTCGCTGTCTTTCTTCAGCAGGAACAGACCGCTGTCCCTGTCTTCAGGTGAGGGAGGGGCACTGCGGTCTTCTGAAACCGTACTGTCATCTGGGACACTGATACACACACACACACACACACACACACACTGTGACTTTGCAGCAATTTCACATAAGAATTTGCTCAAATGATTGAGAATAGCTAGGTGCTCCGTTGGGTTCGTTTACAGATACGCGCTTCTCCTGGTTACTGTGTGTGCACAGGGAAGTGCAGCATGAGTCAGCACGCTGGGCCATGCATGGATGTACCTACAGACACACACTCACACACACACACACAAACACATGCACACACGTACACTTGTGCACTGGAGAGATGTGTGAGTGCACAGCCAGCAGCTGAAAATCATAAAGCTATAATCCCTCATCATATCAGTATTGTAAAACACAACAGAGCAGAAAGAGGCCACCTGCCTTCCAAACACACGCACACACTCGTGCACACAAACGCACGCACATTTTAACCGCCTCTGGACTGTAGGACATTTTTGCATCCTGCAATAAACGACAGTTGTACATAATTTTACTTCTGACCTCAGGTAGTTGGAGCTGGAGGGTTTGAGCAGGTTCTCTGAGCCTGAGTGTCTTTTCCTCTGGAAGAAAACATCATGTCTGGAGTCACAGTCCGGACTCACAGAGCCGTGTTCGCTGCTGCTGCTACCGGCGGCTTCGCCCTGCAGCTGCACTGACATGGACACGTTCTGGATGTAGTCTGAGGATTCAGCAGAGACGCGCGGACACGCTTTACAACCTGCTTTTTTAAAATGCAGACACCAAAATAAGCTATTTGTTTAAAACCTGTTGGTTTGAAGGCAATCTTGCTCTTCTTGCCCTTGACGTTGTGCCTGAGGAAGATGTCCCTGAGCAGGTCGGCAGCGATGGCTCTTTTGTGAGGATCAGGCTCGAAGCAGCGCAGGATGAAGGACTTGGCGTCTAGTGATAAAGATTCGGGGATCTCTGGGTGGATTTTAAACATGCCCACCTGCAACAAAAAGCCAAAAAGTGAAGATTTATTTAAAAAATTAAAAAATTAAAATACTTAGAGCAGTTATTTGGTTGTGCTGTAGCCACAGATAGTTGCTATCTACCTTAAACATGGCTGCCTGCGGCTCCCCGAGCTCATGAAAAGGGGGTTTTCCAGTCGCCATTTCAATGATGGTGCATCCCAGAGACCAGATATCAGCTGGGGCCCCGTAGCCCCGAGGACCTTTGTCGATGATCTCTGGAGCCATGTACTGCAGCGTTCCTGCAAGGCAGAAAAGATATTTCTAAACATCATTTTTGTAATAGTTTGTCTTTGTCCCACTGGGTCCAGTAAGGGCAATGTTTTAACGTTTGCTAGCTCAAAACCCATCACGGTGATATTTTACATTTATCCAGAAAATTTCTGCTTCACTAGTTCTTCCATGCGATCTCAAAAAATAGTGTTTCTGGATTTTTCCTACTTAAGTGAATACGATTTCCCAGAAGATGACTCAGAGGCGCCACATGCCGACAGGCAGAGCCGGGAATTTCTTGGGGCCCCCATGTCAGTTAGAGACTTCCGCACACCAAAGTCCAAGGGTCGCAGTCTGGACTTTTTATAGACAATCGTGCTTTTTTATAAATGCAAGAGCTGCATTCTCTAAGTGTTGTCTTTCAGCTTGTATGAGATGCTGCTCAGTCTCACTGAAATATGATAAAGGATAAATGACCACACTTGTATAGTGCCTCTCAGAGTAAGGACTCCAAAGCACTTGACACTACATTGTATCATTCATCCATTCACACACACATTCACACACTGATGGTGATGAGTTACGATGTAGCCACAGCTGCCCTGGGGCGCACTGACAGAGGCGAGGCTGCCGAGCACTGGCGCCACCGGTCCCTCCGACCACCACCAGCAGGCAAAGTGTCTTGCCCAAGGACACAACAGCAGAGTTCCCTGTCTGGAGCCGGGATTGAACCTGCAACCTTCCGATTACTGGACAACCCGCTCAACCTGTTGAGCTGCTGCTGCCCCATGGACTTCATATGAAGTCCTATAAATAAAGAAAGCAGAGAAGACCACATGTCCATCAGAAATCCAGTAGGGAAAAAATCCAGAGCCACTTTTTAATAAACCACAAAACTAACCTAACACAAAAGTGAGTCAACACACAAGGCTGAAGATGTTTAGGACATCTTTAGACCGAAGCTAGGACATGATCCAGCTCTTGTCGTGTTTGTGAAATTTGACATCGTAGCAGACAAGCAGGTGCAGACGGGCCGCTCTTAGTCAGTCATCACATCCAAGATGAGTTTATGTTTCTGTAAAGATTTCTTATTGTGTTATTTCCTCTCGTTTGTTCGCTGTTGCTGATTCAAACAAGAAAATGCAAATCAGCAGTCGAACTAGATTTACGTGTTTATTTTTATGTCGGGTTATGAAACGTGGAGTGCTCGTGAAGCAGGGTTTGCACCAGGATTCATTTTCATTTTACCACCAAGTCTCCTCTGCTGCCTAAACGTCGGATCACGTTTTCAGCCAGAGCTATAAACGGAGCATCGGAGCCGAGCGAACAGATAGGTGAACCCACAGACCTGCTAATGCAAGGTAAACACCATCCTCTGCCTCTGTTTGATTAGCTAATCTAATTACACACCTCTGTGGCCACAGGAAATGGCCAGATGGCCATTAAATGTGTATGTCCATACACACTTGTGTGTTTGAGTGTTTCCATAGAGGCTGATAGGGACTCTTGACATTTTAAGGGTCATTTGATATTTACACTCATTTCTGAGACAACAGCATTTCAATGACTCCATTTATGCAGCTCAGACTAAATTACTGTGTGTGTTTATGCATGATTGGATGAACCTTCTGCGTAGTTAGAAATTTTTTTCTATTTAAATTTTCGTGACTTACTTTGTCTTAGTTTCAATGTCAAAAACGCTAAGTGACATCTTCCTGTGAGACCAGGGTTCCTCTGGTTTCGGTAAAACTTAAAACCATTTTGTTGATTTTCACAGATTTTAAACATTTTTATGAATATTAAAATTGGGAAGAGAGAGACATAAAAATACCTGTAAATGTTTCTGTGCAGGGATTGACTCCCGCCAATCGTTTTGAGGTTCCAAAGTCGGAGATTTTTAGGACGCCGCTGTAAGTGTTCACCAAAACGTTGTCACCCTGGAGAGAAAACAGAAAAAACGACATAAATATTCAGCACGTTAAGTATTAATTACCTGCAGAATCTACCCAGAAGTTGCTTTCAATATTAAGTGATACCACACCAAAATGAGCAGAGTAATCAGTATTATAATCCTGTATGGAGTTCCGCAGGGTTGTGTTCTTGGTCTACTATAATTATCATAATACATTATTCTTAATCAGGACTTTACTGCTCTTTTATTGTACAAATTAAATATTTTAAGCAGTTTAACTCGTCTCTGTTTAACCCTCCTGTTGATGAAATTAATTTAAAAATGTACTCATCACATCCTGAAACATCCTGAACACTATTCACTGCGATAAGTTTTTAACTGATCATTTGTCAAAAACGTTGCCATTATATATATTAAAATTATTTTCATGTTATTGAAAGGTTTAGGTATTTTGTTTTAGGCTCTTGAGAATAGAAACTAAAGAAGTTGATTAGATTGTTAAATGTATGGCTTTTAAAGTATTTTAGTGCGATTTGAGAGCTTAAATTTAAAGCACTATTGTGTTTAGTTACTTTAGGAAGGCTAAGAATCTGAATTTCTGTGGACTCACCATGATTAAATATCAACCCTAAACTTAGAGTCTTACGTGTAAAAGATGCAGGGGCGAACGGTTCTGTGATGTTTTGTATTTTTCAGAAAATGCTTAAACATGACCCTTTACTTTACCTTCTTTAATGTTTGTGGACTCCAAAATGTTTTATGTTCATGCTGATCATGCTCATTATGTTTTTGCCTTTCCAGGCATTAGTGCATACATCTACTGTGTAATGTGTTCACCTTAATGTCTCTGTGGACAATCTGGTTCTCATGCAGGTACCGCAGCCCCTCCAGGATCTGTCTGGTGTAGAAGATAATCGTTGCCTCCTTCAAGGGGCCCCATTTTGACCTCAGCAAAGCTGACAGGCTTCCTGGGGAAAGGAGACAAGGAGTGTCCAAAACCTATCATGAAATGGGAAAATGACCAAGCAGTTAGAGAGACCTCCCGGTCACCGGGAGGTCACAAAGCACTGATCTCTCAAACAGGCTGTTTTTCCACCAAGACACCAGATAATGTTCACTTCGCTGTCTGGCAGAAACGTACCTCCAGGCACTTGTTCCATGAAGATCTTGATGTATCCGTCCTCAGAAATGGAACCCAGATACTGAACGATGTTCCTGTGTTTCAGGTACTTGTGAAGGGCGATTTCCTCGTGAAGGGGTTGAGAGTATCTGCACCACACAAAATAGACAAAAGAAAAACACAAAAATTCCAAACTACATTTTATTCTTTTGATTTTTGTTTAACTTGCACTTTAAATGTATACATTACCTCATTTATTCCCAAAAAGCAGATACAACTGTTGTTTATTCAGAAATTATAAATTCAAGTTTTTGTCTCTGTGAGCTTTTTATTATGTCAAGTTTTGGAGATTTTAGAAATATGGAGAAAAGTCCTTCTGATATAGTTTTCACTGTGCAGCCTGTATATTATATATATATATATATATATATATATATATATATATATATATATATATATATATATATATATATATAAGTATGTATGTATGTATGTATGTATATATATATACATACATACATACATACATATATATATATATATATATATATATATATATATATGTATATATATATATATATATATATATATATATATATGCATACATACATACATATATATGCATATATATGTATGTATATATATATATACATACATACATACATACATACATATACATATATTTATATATGTATGTACACACACACACATATATATATATATATACATACTTATATATATACATACATACATACATACATACTTATATATATATATATTTTTTTTTTTTTTTTGCACTGTGAGCCTACCTGCTGTCTCTCTCTGGGATCTCCTTGATGGCGATTCGGACCTGGTTGCTCAGGTCTCTCCCAGCATACACCACTCCGTACGTGCCCCGGCCCAGCACCACCCTGTCTGCGTTCTCATCCATATCATACTCATACTGCAACACAAACACACAAAGAACAATCAAACTAACTAATGTAAGTACTCAACGGAGTATTTCTGCACTCTGACCTCCAGCGTGTCTCCATCTCCTTCCCCTTCCAGCTCCACAGCGTTCCCCGTTCCATCAGATATCATCTCTTTCACCATGGAGCAGAACCTGACCCACAAACAAACATCACTGCCTCACAGACAGAACTGTGCAAAAGTTTTAAGCCAAGCCGTCTTTATTTACAGTTTGATTAAGTAAAGCTCATTGATATGAAACCAGATCATATTACAAAAAAGAGCATGGTCACGTGACAAAAAGAAAAAGAAAAGTGGTTTTGATCTTCAGATTTTAAAGTCTTTTATTCCTTTAATTCGTGTTATTTTAAGGGTTCCCAAGGTGATTTTGTAAGATCTCAAGTTGCATCTTGAGTTACTTTTGCAAGACGACCAAGAGAGGACAGGAGAAAAGTTAACCATCCAAGGTTTTCTGCAAACCACCTTCTTGAAGCTAAAGTACAGCTTTCAGTTTGTCAGACTGTTCCTTTTGAATTCAGATTCCACTAAAGAAATCAGGACAAGCAACTGAGAAGAAAAGAGACATGAGTTGGTTTCTTGTGCTTGGTGAGCATAAATGAATGAATAAATGTTTAAAGCCACTCATTAAAAAAAAATAATTCATCAAGAACTGATTCCATTTTTTAAATAAAAGTAAAAATCCAAAGAAGAACTTTTAAAGATTACAAAAAAAGTTTGGAAATGAAAATTGGAAATTAAAAAAAAAGGGATGACTCTGGACTTTTGAACAGCACCCTGCATGCTGCGCACACACACACACATCTGGAGGAGCGTGTCCTCACCGACCACACTGCTCCTCAGTGGAGAAGTAGATCTGGAAGTCGTCTGAGTTGTCGTGGACGTAGAGGAAGCAGCAGCGCTCGTCAAACTTACTGATACTGCAGAAGAAAACATGAATCACTGCAAGCGTAACCCCTTAAGCAGCTTATAGTTATAAAACAGCAACGATGAAGCAAACGTTCTTAGAGGTAACGGATCAACATGAAACCTCCAAATATCAAACTAAACGTTGTTTGTTTTTGTTTTCTTTATAATAGAAGAATGTCTCACTGCTACTTTGGCTGTTAACAACCGAAGCTCTGATTTAGTTTCACTTCTCTATTCTTAGTACAGCCTCTGGCTGTTTGATTTCCTAACTATCAGGTGACACTTCTTATGCAACTGCACCTTTACATCATCACGGCCGTCCTAATCATGCAGAAGAGATCAGGTACCAACTCGCTCCGGCTGGAGATCTTAAATACCATTCCAGGTGTTTAAAGAAAGGAAAACCTGGAAAGGACTGTTAGGAGTGATTCAGCTACGGGAAGCTCACACCCAACAGTCTGAGTCATCATGAACTGTCTTTGTTTCCCTGAATACTGATCTAAAAACATCAACGATTAGTAATAATTCTGATTTTTATCTGCACAGATTTGTGAAACGACTTCATCTCAGCTCAAAACTGACAAACATTTATCATTTTTGAAGATTTTCCACCTTAAATGTTAGTTTGATGATGAAATATCGTTATTATTTATAAAAAGAAGACAAAAAAAGGGAATTTTTCATGACACCAAATTTGGCTTTGGGATTTCTATAAGGGTTTGTGAAGGGAACGCTCATCTGCTTTAGGAGGAAGACCTTTGAGTTCCACTGTTCAGTGCTGCTGTAGAAGAAAAGGCCACCTTGCATTCAAGGAAAAGCCTCATGTTGTTCATTTATTAATGTATTCCCTTCTGACTGAAATATTCCAAACTTTTATTTGCATGGATGTTTTTCTCTTTTACATCTTCAGCCTGTTTTCGTACCTGATTCCTTTAATGGATGTAGCAGTGAAGTTCCACTCGTGGATGCCCTTCTGTAAAAGACAAATACTTTAAAGGTGTGGAACACTCATTTCATCAAAACATTTCTAGCAGGAATGAAAGCCTTGTAAGTCGTACTCTAGGGTAAAAAAAACCTCGGTGCACCATTTCCAGGAACTCGAAGTGACCCACGTAACAGCTCAGCTCAAGCTGTGAAGTGACAGTGTGACACAGATCTGTCAGGCTTTTCTAATCCTAGAGTTTCACCGTCTGTTTTCTATAAGAGGCTGAAGCAGGAGGTAGGTGTAGGAGACTATTTTCACATTCAGCCTGCATGAAAACCTCAAAGTGACTGACTATAATCAGAAATAACAGTTAAGAGAAACACTTTTGAGATAAGAGTTGTTTTAAGGTGGCAGTAATCCATATTTTCCCCTTACCTGATATGCCTAGCTGTTAGCTTGTTAATCTGATCAGATCATCAACCTGAGGTGGTTAATAGAGTTTTGTGAAACAAGTAAAATATTCATCTTTTAGCACTTTCCCACCAAAAGCAGTTTTAAGTCCCAGATAGTTTGATGATAGTTCTGATTACAGATGGATCGAGTAAGAACTCACTCGATTTTTGATGCATGGGTTATGAAATTCTCTGTTTCTTAGGAGTGAATCTGCTAATTTAGCTACAAAGTCTAGTTTACTTCATGATGCAACGAAAGGTAAAGAACACAAGCTTACAGTTTCAGTTGGGGAGACGTGCCAGATGGAAACGTTCATCTCTTCAGCCTCGTTGTTAATGGAGACGTAGGAAGGCTGGTAGATCTTGGTCGGCTCCAGAATCAACACCTGCACAATAAATGCACAAAAGGGAGTGTAAGCATTTAAATGGTTTATCAGCAGACACGCTTGTGACTGTTTTTAGTACAGGAAATCGCAGCCTCTTGGTGGTTTCTTGTGTGGCCTCTACAATGATGTCCATCCAGAAGTCCAGTTTCTCTCGTTGAGGGGAATGTTCCACCGCCTGCTTTTTAAACCTCTGGATTAGCTGCAGGTTCTGCACCACTGACCGCAAATACCTAAAGAAAACACCCATTAAGTAAATCAAATTTTTGAGGTCAGTAAGCATTCATAATCTCTAAATGCACTCCAATTTCTAACATTATCACTAAAAGCAGCCAGTGAGTTGTGATCAGTTTGGTTCTGTGCTCCTCAAGTGGTCCGTGAGCCATTTAGTACCAGAAATGCAGAAAACGAATTGAGATGCAACAGTTTAGATGATTGCATTACTCGCAGGTAGAATGCACATACCAGAGACTTCAATGGCAGAATCAGACAAGGCAGCTGGATCTTTTCTTCTCTTTTGAAGACAATAAAAACCCCAAAACCATTCAATATATGTAAATATAAAGTATGGCCGCGACCCGTCTTGGTCAAGGGGCAGAATCTATGGTTGTCTTTCAAACTGTCTCTGCCTGCAATTGGGCAGCACTGGAGCCAATCAGAGCAACAAACAATGAGACGTATTCCTCACTAATGAAACTAGTCAACAGGGCAGTCCACCATACACCGTTGAGCACATAAAAGAATCAAATATAACCTTTTTCAAAATAAAGGACTTAAGCGCCTCTGTCTGCTCAAGTCTAAATAGTCCAAAGTTGATGCCAAAGCCATTGCAAACTACCTTTTGTTGTTTTCCTCCATCACAGCTCACTAAGCCTTCCCAGCATCGCTCCATTTGTTGTGACTTGTTCTCAAATTATTCTGCTCATTGGAAGACCTACTGAAGATCCAACCGAGCGTGACCTGACCAACCCGAAGAGCCAAATCTTTTGCTGCTGCTATGGTTGGTCTAGTTTTCCGGGCTAAAGAAACACAGTCTTGAGGGCATCATTTGGAAACGAAATATTATTATCCTATTTGGCCATCATTATCCAAGGACATAACATTTGAGAACTTACAATGAACCTAACCCACCATGCTTATAAGATTTGTTGAAACATCCAACCACTGGTATTGTCATGCTGATAACGTATGAAATACTCATCAGTAATACCACAAGTGATGACGTATGGCATTGTTGATGCCCCCTTAACCAGTGGGTGTTTCTCAACCCCAAGTAACCTTGCCTTGATGTCTTGGCCCCGCCCCGGTTGCCTAGGAGATATGTCATCGGGAGCCGCCAAGACGTGTTCCAATGTTCATGTTCTACCGAGGCGTGTGTTCTCCGTTTTTTTGCCGTTTAGCTAGCTGAGCAAGGACACAGGGGAGGTGTCTTGCAGCCTAGCCTTGGTCAAAAATTACCCAGAATACACCACGGTATTTTCAAAAGGATGGCGGATCAGAAGTCGGCAGCTACTTCGGGGACAATTTTCAAGTTTAAAAGTAAGTCAGCTAATTTAAAATGTTTTTTTTTTAATCCAAAGAAGTTATCTATGGTTGGTTAGTTGCTAAGTAGTTGCAGCTTCGGTGGCTAGTGGGTGGTAACTCACTTATATTTTTAATTTAATAAACATATACACAATTTAAAAAGTAAAAGGCTCGTTATATATTTATATTGAAACTAATACGTATAAAATATAACGTTATCTCCTGTGTCACGTGACATTACGTGACCGCCGTGGAAGCCGTGGTCACGTGATGCAAGTCTGTTCCATTTAACCGTTTTCTTTAACCACGGAAGGACAGTGTCCTCGTAAGCATGGCGCCTGGCCTCGCAAGACATCGCCTCGCAAGGCCAGGCGCCTTGTTATTGAGAAACACCCACCAATAGTGGAAAATGTTCTAACGGCTTTACCAAAGCGGTGGTTTCAGTTTGAAGAGCTTCTCAGCAGCTTGAGTTGCTTTGGGAATATCGCTAGCTAGCATGCTGACGGTGAAGAACTGGCCCACATCCCAGTAGTTGTTCATCTTCTCTAGGGAACCTTTGCGTCCCAGCAAGCTGTTCAACCTCACACCTGCAGAGATACATTAGTAAAACCAACCAACCAGTAGCTGTTTAAATGGCTCCCAAAGTTTATGATTCACCAGCAGACTACTGAATCTTAAACTGTAGTTTGTGACTTGAATGAAAATGTACCAAAAGAGTTTTGATTCACCAATTTTCCGGAGTTCCATGGAGTTCTCAAACTGCTGGCCGGCGACTATAAGCAGGACAGCGAGGTTGATGCCAGAATACAGCGTTGGCTGCAGCTCAAAACCCTTCCTGTACCTATGGGTGACCCAGAAACACAGATCAGCTCACAGCAGGACATAATTAAGCTAGCTAACATTCCTTTGTTCTCACCACTGAATAGCATTGTCTCTGTTTATAGTGTCCTTGCAGTCCGAGTCAAGAAAAATGTCCTTATAGATCCGTCCACAGAGGCAGAACATGTCCGGCGCCGGGTGTTCGCAGGACTGTAGGACCTGAAGCATCACCCTAAGAGCCTGCTCTCGGTCCCCGGGACTGTTCCTCCTGAACACATTCATTTAGGGTTCAGTCATGGAAGATTATTCGTGTCTTTACTGCACATCTACAGCTCTATGAGCGAGAAAACATCCAATGTTCAGAACTATAAATTACTAAATTAAATTAAGGAAAATAGAAATAATGTAAAATACAATGAATGGGAATATTAATTTAGATATGTAACTTTTAGAAAATAAGAAATAATATTCAACATAAATATGTTTAAATTGTTAAAATATGAAGCATATATAAAATAAACTATAATAAAATAAAAATATAAAATAGGAATACAAATATTTATTTAAATATCTATATAATTCATAACATATTACATATGAAATATATTAAATTTGATAATAAGCTAAGCAAATTATATAACATAATTAGTTAATAAAATAGAAATAATATGTGAAATATAATGACATTGTTTTAAAAATCATTTGTTAAATATGTTGAATTAAAATAAAATACTTTCAAATAGAGAATACCCAAAAACTAATCAATTTACAAAGTATTTCATACATTTATAAAGAAAAGGTAATGGACAATTTATACTTTATTGTGTTTGAAATTGGCCTGTTGTTCGTTTACTTTCCAAACTATGACTTTCTGTTCTAATTAATTTAATTTTGGAGCTTTTGTCATACAAAACAACAATTGGTTTGGTTGGATTCTTCATACCAGGGAAAATAAACATTTTAAAAAAGCTTCAGAGACAAGAAGTAAAATAATCTATCCATCAGCTTTATGTATCTGGTGACATGTGTGGTGTACCTGTTAAGTGCAAATGCAAAGTGGAACTGGATCATCGGCTGGGTGGCCAGATCACAAGTTGGTAGAGTCTCCAGAGTTTGCACCAGTTTCACCATCGCATCATAGTCCTGTTGATCAGTTAAAAACCACGGTCAATGTGCAGGTTCTCGTGCCCGGTGCTTGTTTTGAGTGATGCTCACACCTGTATGTCCCTGTAGGAAAACAGCAGGTTCATGACGATATCCTGGGTCAGGACCTCGGTGTTGTCCATTCGGAGTTTGATCCGGGCCAACTCCTTGGCCAGCTCCTCACCCTGGTACTTCTCTCTGGCCTTCCGGATGTCGTTGAGCAGCGTGTCTTTAAAAGACGCACTGCAAAAAGTAAAAAGGAAAGGTAAATAAGAGAAAGATTGTTTTTAGGTGAAAAACATAAATCATCAGACTGTAATTTAACTTGTAAATTAGAAGAATGGGGTTTTAGTCCCACTACTTTGACTCTTTTCTGACTGATCTTGGCTAAAATGCTGATTTATTCATTTCTAAAACAGATTTTAGAAATAATAACTTGGAAAAGAGGAGGATGATGATTAAAACACCTTTATTACAGACCATGGCTAGTCAAATAAAATCACATGTACATGCTTCAGCCAACCTGGCTTTGGTCCGGACAACATGTGTCAGGACAGTATTAGGTAATGCATGTCAGCTGGTTGAGCGGGCAGGAAGTCACATGACCAGCGTTTCCACATACACAACCACATGGCTAGCTCATTTGTAGACATGATAAATATTAAAATCATAGATGAGAAATACAAGAAAATATGAGAAGTTTTCTTAAAATAGGCTTAAAATTAAGGAACTATGGCATTAACAGAAAAGGTGAGAAATCAATGTCTCCATCCAACCTGGGTAACAGAAAGCGGCAGTGTATAAGACGTGTTTTTACTCTGTCGCCCTCTCTCTTTAATACACTCTAGACCTGGGGGAGAAATGACTTAACAAGTTCATCCTTTAAGGTTGGAGCTCGTTGGAAGATGATGGTTGGAGCGTCTGCAAGAGCTTTTCTAAGATTCAGAGTTTAAAGATGTGGTTGAGTGTAAAAGACCTTTTTAATGATTATTTCTGATTATAATGGGTCACTCTGGTTTTTCAAGCATCCTGAACCTTTAAAGATGAATGGGAAGCCATGTTGAATTCATGCTCCCTGAATGTCATTCAAAAGGCTGAGAAACCAAAAACCCAAATCCTGTGCCAAGGGTCAGAATGAGGTGCAAATAACTGGATTTTTGTCTCTTCATTGTTAAAAACAAATGAAAAATAAACAAGTTTGCTTCTTCCATTTGAAATGTGGTTGCTCCACAAACTCATATATTCATGTTTTTTAACTTGCTTTTACAGTAAAGTGCTGTCGCTCCTCTCACCATGATGTTACGTGGATGTCCTTTAGTAGGCTGGTAAAGCGGTCGAAGAGGGGGACGCACAGTGGTCCCAGCAAGTTGTCCCAGCTGGGTTGCATGTACTCGCTGGCCCTGCGCTGGGCATCGCTCTCACAGCACATATACTCATGGTTAGGGGTCACGATGTAGGGGATGAAGTAGTAGTTACCGCTGGATGCCTGCAGCAAGAGAGGAAATGATGATTCATGATACAAACCATGTTAATGCATGAAAATCTTCAGCAAGCACACATGCAGGAGTCTGGCTCCAGGTGTTGGAATAGGGTAAGGGTAAGGGTAAGGGTAAGGGACCTCCGGGTGCAGAGGGAGGTGAGAGATTATAGAGTAATTAATCAGGAGGATCAGATCACCACACAGACTCACTGGTAACATCATAACATTATTAGCAGATTTAAGTTTGGAGAAAAAGCATAAAAATGTAACCACTTCCTCTACCTCTGCCCTTCGGATCATCTGTAAGTAATCTCACTTGTGCAAAAGTTTATTTCCTAATTGTATAAAATATAGATTAGGATTTTTTGATGGTATTTTGGGCTAAGATCAACGCTTGGTTTAACAAAAAAAAGCACAAAAGTTAAAAAGATAAAAATGAAAGAGTGGCAGATTTAAAAAAAAAATCTTTATTTTTCATTTATGAAAAGAACTAATAAACAGCCAGTGCTGAGCTGAATCTTAGCAAAAGCAGCTGAGGTGAAACTGGTCAGGCAGGACATCTACACGCGGTTTAGCCTTGGCCTTTAAATGTTTCAGATCAGCAAAACAAACAGTTTCAGACAAAGATAACCTGAGTAATAAATGAAGTCCTCATTTGAAAACTGTATTTCATATTTAAAGGAAAATAAAATCCATTTTAACTAATGTGGCCTACTTTACAGGATCTCAAAAAGCAACACATCACGCCCTATGCTAAAGATCAAAAGAACCCAGAAAGGTGGCGAGGGTTAGGGTCATCTGAGAAAGAGACCCAAAACTAACACTTCGGAAAAACCTTATCACCCAACCAGTCAGGCACAGTGGTGGTAGAGTGATGGTCTGGGGCTGCTTTGCTGCTTCAGGACCTGAATTGTGAAGGTGAATGCCTGACTTTTGACCATAAAACGTTAAAATAAAGTGGTCAAATGGAGGCAAAAACGTAGATTACATGTGGTGCTCAGGGATCACTGAGATATTACACAAGGGTAGCCTAGTGAACTAGACCAAATTCTTGCTTTGCAAAGTTTGGTCAAGGAACGCTCCACTGGAACCTCTGCAGCCCCTAACAGCATTCTGGCTGGCCAATCACAGCTCTCTAGAGGGGTTTCAAACGCATAAAGAGCTGTGATTGGTCCATAATGGTGGGCCAATCATAGTGCTCTATCTGCTTAGTGAACAAATCACAGAGCTTTATCTGCTTTGTGGGCAAATCAGGGCACTCTATATGCCTGGTGGGTGGGATGATGCAACAGAGTGAAACAAGATGGCGGCAGCTCGTTTGAAAAGGCTTTTACATCCATTTCGAACTGTTAGAACTTGGGCTTCATTAGAATCAGGAGCAGATGGATGTATTTAAGTGCTTTTTTTAAAGAAAAAAATTATGTTTTCTCATTCTTCAATTGCGGACCGCCTCATTTACCGATAGCTGTTGCGGTGAGGATGTCACATTCATTGTCCAACAGCATGCTGAGATCATTTGAAAGACAACGGTAGAACCCGCCCCACAACGGAGAGCCGTTTATTTAGTCTGGCTTGCCAGGCTAACACAAGAGGCTTTAGGCAGGAAATTACACATTTTTCTTCAAATCAAACAAAAATCAGCTGAATTCCTGCTGGAAGGATCTGGTTTAAGGAACCTGAGAGAGCAACAGGTGAACCTCTACCCCGGTTGGGTCTCCCCGTCGCAATTAAGCTGCTAGTTTTTAATTTTGATTAACACTTTACACGCTGTGGCACATCAGACATTTATGCCACAATACGTGTTTTGAAGGTGTACATGTGGGCGTGGTGGGATTTCTTTAAAACGATAAATTCAATAAGGTTCTCGTTCAGAGACGGGGGTGCAGTCGAGCTGTTTGTCTGGTCTCCAGGTCTGTAGATGTGTCTTCGTCGTGGCGCCATCTCACTGGCTGTGCTGCCAGACTGTCTCATACATGTGCTTAGACCAGAGTCAAGAGTTTCGAACATTTTCCCATCAAGTTTTTCTTCAAAAATCTTAACGTTTGCGTGGAAAGCCACCTACGCAGTTTTCAGACCCCGTTTTGTGAGTAAGCTTCTTAAATGAGGCCCCTGGTGACTCTAGGGGTCAAACACCTGTTCACACAGATCCAGGTAGGTTGGGAGAGGCTTTTGCATTCATTAAAGGAAATCTTCATCTTTTACTCAGGTCGTCTTTGTCTGATATTAAAATTTATCTCCTGATTTAAATCAGAAAAAATACAAAACCGGACAAAAACTGCAGAAACTTCTTAATCGCCGCCCCTAATGGGGCGACGGTGGCACAGGAGTTAAGTGCTCACCATGTAATCGGAAGGTTGCAGGTTCGAGTCCTGCTCAGTCTGTCACTATCATTGTGTCCTTGGGCAAGACAATTAACCCACGTTGCCAGCTGGTGGTGGTCGGAGGGACCGGTGGCGCCAGTGCTCGGAGGCCTCGCCTCTGTCAGTGCGCCCCAAGGCAGCTGTGGCTACATCGTAGCTCATCCCCACCAGTGTGTGAATGGGTGAATGACTGGTTGTGTTGTAAAGCGCCTTGAGGGGTTCCAGGACTCTAGAAGGCGCTATATCAAATACAGGCCATTTACCATTTTATTGAGGTGATTGACAATATTTAAAGTCACTTGGTGACATAAATACTTCTAATGTTTCCGTTTCCACATCCAGTTTTAGCCGCCAAGGCTACATGCAGGAGATCACAGCAACATAAGCTGCAAAACCAAGAAAGGAAAACTCATTCCTTGCACGTTGTTAGAAGACTGGGACTGTGTTAAGCCTGATTTATGCTTCTCCGTCTGCGTCAGTGTGGAGACACGCAACGCCATTATCCGTCCTTGCGTAGGGCTCCGGCAGGCACGCAAGTACGTACGGAGTCGAGCTCTCTTTTTTAAACATCCGTCGAACGAGACGGATTACGCAAGCTTGTGATTGGTCAGGACGCCGCAGTTGTTTACAGCGCCGCCATTGCAAAGAGAGCCGAGGGGAACTAGCGGCAGACACGGAGAAGTTTGAAGAATACCTTGCGAAAAAACTCTAAAAATATGAACGTTTCATTCTCCCGTGACTGGAGGAGTGAAAAGATTTGCAGCAAGCGTTTTATTTGTGGACGGAAATGACAGGAAACGTGGGTTTAGAGGTGGGGAGCACATGAAGCGGTGGGAGAATGAGAGACAAATATGACTGTGTTAAAAGTCTCTTATATACACAAAAAACACAATATAAACACACTATCTTGGACCGATACATGACAGGATACCACAGAATAGCGCTACGCCCTCTGTTGTCCTGCCGGGCAATTGCTTTGCAACACTCTCCAGGAGACGGAGAAGTATGAAAGCAAAACGCTTCCGTCAATCTGTGCATGTCTGTCCCTTGCGGAGCTGACGGAGAAGCATAAACCAGGCTTAAGGCGCACTCTCGCAGCATGCCTCGGTGCCAGCCTGGTACCTACTTTGTTTCTCATTCCAGAGCCTCGGTATTCAGGAGGCAACTGAACCCAGGGAAAGCCTAACGCTGGCGGCCGACTTCCCTACTCCACACAGGTGAGAACATATGAACAATGAGCGTCAGTTCCAAGAAAAACCTGCTACTGCAGACGTGTCGGGACTGTTACATCCATGTGAGTGGGAGCTTGGTGCAGATTCCTGAATAGATTTCAGCAATTCCTAGAAATAACAGTGTGTGTGCACGTATACCACTGTCAAACACACACTTACACACATGCAGAAACTTACTGTGTTTTTCTGCGCCACCATGTCCTGTGAGGAAAACAGAACAAAGAAAGCGCGTGTGATGCATTTCAAAGCTATAACAAGAGTTACACGATTTATTCTTGCAGCTTTTAAATAGGTGCGAGGACTAACTGTCCAGCACACAGCGGTCTGTAAATAACTCCGAGGGGTCACTTTGTTCTGCGGCGGCATGGAGGAATGGCATCCCCCAACTCTGATTACACTCCAGCAGGGGTGTGTGTACCTTCAGTGACTGAGCGGTGTCTGGGTCGGTGTCGTGGTACAGGATGACGTTGTTGGCCATGTCGAAGCTCTCCCTCACGCCCAGGTGGTAAAACAACGAGGGCTGCCGGAACACGTCGCTCATGTCCACGACCGCGATGTCTGGAAGGACGAAGCGACAACACCAGTGATTCATGGTTGATTCAGCGAAATGATACCTGAACTGGAATTTGACCCCCAACTGAAATTCACACCCGTTAGCTTAACCCGACACCTCTGACGAAGAGGAAGTGTTACAAACTGGTTAGTTTAGGGCTCTTGGATGACACCAAAACTAAGACAACAGGCACATTTCTCTTTCTAGTTATTTTGTGGCTTTGATGGGATCATAATCCTTCTTGGAGTTTGTAGTTGAGCTTATTCCATGAAGCACTTGGTGTAAATGACTACAGCATTCCAAATGGAGTCACCAGAGCGAGAAGGGACACGCAGGAAAACTCAAAAATAAACAACTCATTGTCTGAACTTACAGTAAGCATGAATGAAAGGCTGTTTTATTGCTGAGCGCCACCAGTTCTGATGAATATCTCATAACTTGTTGAGTCAAGGTTTTACCCCATAAAAACCTATTGTTTTGTATTTCTGGCTATAAATTATCACAAATGTTGGGTTAAAAGCTCCAGAAATCACGTGAGCTTACAGAAGCATGAGTATCATGCATCTTAAAGGAAACAGATTAGTTTACGTTCATGGTTCCAGGAAGACACGTCTTGATTAATCCCTTTTGAGATAATCTGGGAAGCATTTCTGGCAGCCATCTTGCTATTTGTGCAAACGGTAAAAACTTGAAGAGGGTTGAAGCTCACAAGTGGGCTTCAAATACGTATTTTAATAAAGATGGATGTCAAATGACAGAAATGAAGCACTAAAGTAAAAGAAATCAACATTATGGCTCCAAATCATAACAGCTAGACTTTGTACTCACCTGACCTACAAGGAATCTCCAGGCCCCTTTGATGCATGTTTCCAGGTAAAAAGTTATAAACAGTTGCTACCTTTCCTGTTATTGCTTCCAAAGCACCCTTTGTTCAATAGAAAGCTGCAGTTAGCTCAACCAAGACCATAAAACGGGAACGGTTACTGGTGAAGCAGAATGGAGGTAAAGGAAAATAAGCAGCATTGATCCTGCTTTAAAATCATTGTTTCTAAACTCCCAACGCAGAAAAATTCGGCGAAAATTCCCTCATAACGTCACAATTGACCACTCTTTGTGGTATGACAGCATCGTTAGGGATGGGTACCTTTGACATTTGAATCGATTCGGTACTAATTCCCGGTATCTAGGAATCCATACCGGTACTTAACGGTACCAATTTTCAATACTTTTGAGTGTTTATTATTTTAATTCTCTTTTATAATTAAATATATATTTTTCTCAATATCAAACAATATTTGATAAATATCACGATAAATAACATTCAACTGTTTGTATTTTAACATCGTCCTTGTAGTTTTATAAGCTGATAATTAAACTGAAGCAAACATCTTTACTGTGAACTAAATTTACTGTGTATCTTCATTCCTTTTGCCGTCTTTTTTCATTTGATTTTTCCTACTGGGAAGTTAGAATTTCCGAGGAGAAAGCGAACGCTCCATTAGCTGATAACAATGGTGGCAATGGAAGCTAACATATCAAGCTAACGTTATCTTTAGCTGTTTATTTAACTGCTGGAGCAGATTAAAACGATGATGCCTCACACTTAAATCGTTGTCACTGGTTTCATCTTCACCCAATCACCCGTTGCATTTAGTAAAGTGAAGCCAAACTTAAGAGCGCGTTCATGTTCTTCTAGTCGGAAATTCGGAGTTCCGAGGAGAAAGCAAACGCACCATTAGCGAAACGGAAGCTAACAAATCAAGCTAACGTTATCTTAAACATTTTATTTACCTACCGGAGCAGATTAAGATGAGGATGTCTCACTTAGATTGTTGTCGCTGGTTTCATCATCACCCAGTTACCCATCACATTTAGTGAAGTGGACCCAAGCGTTAGCCTGCGTTCTTTCTACCATGCTGCTCTGTTTACAACTGGCTCGCAGCGACCGACGACATAACGCTCTTGCGCAGCTGTCTAGGCAAGTTCTCGTTATGAAGGACGGTACCAAAACGAGGCACCGTTTGAAATGACGTGAAATGGTGCTCGGTCGGTACTATGGAATTCGGTCGGTGCCTTAAAAAGTACCGAATTCGGTACCCATCCCTTGCTGCGTCGTAAAAACGTCTCTTCTTCTGCTCATCTGACGCTGCTTCTTTTGTCGCGCAGTCGCTCCACGACTTTAACATAAGCTTTTATTGCTTATACTGTCCGTGGACGTCATTTAGCTCTAATCAGTGACATCACTCACTGCTGAGGTTGTGATGATATGCTGACGTCTTTGGTGAGGGGACGCAACGCCTGAGAGGTCTGAGCCTCCCTCCTAGTAATTTTCTGGAACTCACGGTGCACATGCGGCTGCAGATTAGTGAACATTTCAGGGTTCTATTCAGTGATATTTGGAAATCATTTAATCATAATACAAAAAGTCACAGTGAATAACTGCAGCTAAATGCTGACGTGTTCTGACTGGAAAACTGAAAATGGTTGTGTTGGAAAATAAGCATCAGCACTCTCCCGATGGCTCCTGCTTGCTAGTAAATCTGAATCACTGAAACATGTAATTGTTTTACATGTGTTGACAAGTCCAAAGCCTCCCACGAGGAACAATTTAACTTTTTCTAGGAATTTGGGTTACCGAATGTATCGTCTCTGTCACTGGAGTGGCATTCCTAAAGCTCATGTTGGCTGGACACTTTCAAACGGGATAAAACGACTTTGAGGAGCAGCTCCGATCTGTGGCTGAAGAATATCTCAGCGTTTCACAGTCCACGTGGATGAAAACCAGCTGCAGAAACAGAGACGACTATTCAACCTGAGTGAACGCAACCCCTGGGGTCACGAGGTCACGTGTTGAGCTGGCAAATCAGAACACGTGATCACATTAAGAAGGTAATGAGAAGATTAGGTGTTTTATAGGATTTCGGTCCAATTTGAAGCAGCAAAGAATGACTAACAATAAACTAAAACCTATAATTTAAAGTAATGAATTCTTTAAAACGCTGGCATTTAAATTAAAGCCTGATAATCTTTAGTTGTGTAACAATCAACCTGTAATTACAGGCTTTAATCCTGCCTCTACCAAATGGAAACCTAATTCAGAGCTCTCTACAGCTCATAAATCTGAGAAAACCAGACCAGCTGAATTATAAAGATGTTTAATTATCATATGTGAAGATGTTACATTATATTCATTCAGAAAATAAACACTGTTAAGTACATGATCTATCTATTCACACACAATCCCTTGTGTGGTTAAGAGTAGCCAATGAAAAATGTTTTTCTCTATTTTGAGCCAATCGTGACTTCTGTTGATTCAATCAAAAATAAACACCTGTGAAGTAATTAGTTTTTATTTAAATAGTTTTCATTTAGTAAATGGTGCACTTCCAATAGAGATTGATGTTCTGATAAAAAAAATTAAATGATCTTTTCTTGTCTTTTTGTGACTTGTTTTGTCCCAAAATGAATAAACGTTTGCAAAAAGAAAGCAGAAATATTGTTTTATATTTTAATAAAAATAAACAAGTCTGTAATACCAACCTGATTTTAAATTTGTTTAACTTTCGCAGGTAGTTGTTGTAAATTAGGACAAAATAGCCTATTTATGTTGGGCGAAAATAAAAAAATAAATGCTGTTTTGTGGAAAAGACATGAAATTGAGGGCTTATAACAGTTGTTGAGGTGAAAGTTTGAGGCATGAAACATGTTTTCTTATTTGGTCATTTAGGCTACTTTAACATGTCTCATTAATAACAGTTGTGGGATAAAAACGTGTCTAAACGACGCAAAAGCATTTGGTTTCGCTTTCAGACTATTTAAAAAGTGTTTGCTGTTACCTGCTGGGGGGATAACTCACCTGCGTCGTAGAAGCTGTCCAGCACCGTGGTCTCTCCGAAGTCCAGCCTCCCGAACGTGACGGTGGTGAGCAGCGCGCTCTCGGAGTCGCAGGCTCTCTGCAGACACTGCAGCGCTCCGGACTCCGGGCTGCTCGCCATCACCGACTTCAGCCCGTCGTTCAGGACATAAACGACCCGCAGAGAGCGCTGCTTAGCCAGCGGACTGGGGCTGGACACCTCGCCCCGATCCCGGTCCCGGTCCGCCGCGCTCACACCGGCTGCGTGCTCCCCGACCATGTCGGCGACCTGCGCGCTCTGCCCCGTTTCCATGGCGCAAACCTAGGAAGTGAACGAGCTCTCTTTACCTCCTTTCTTCTCCGCTGGCTGTCCTCCTCTCCGCCCTCTTCACTCCGTCTGCTCCTCCGTCTCGTCTTCCTCCTCTTCACAAACAGAGCACCTGTCGTGGCAGGAGAGGAGCGCGTCTGAGTTTGTCCTGCCGCATCTCCGCCTCATTTAGTCACATCAGCTGCAGATTTATTTCGCACCACGACGCCCGCTTGCCTAGGACTGGATCGGACCAGATCATAAAGGAGGAGGTTTGGAGAAAAGGGGAAGTCTAATGTTATTCTTTATCTGGTTTAAAGTTTCCAATTGGGAGATCACTGACCAACAGGGTCCTGCCAAGTATGAAATGTTTGTCTAAATATAGAACTGGTGTCCATCTGGTCCCCTTGAGCAGCACCCAGAACATCCACGGATCTAAGATATGGTTTTACATATTTATAATGAATAATTATCACAATTCCTCAGTTTTAGTGACACATATTTTATATCATCTGTTCTTCTTAATGATCATTTCAAAGAAGAGTCAGGATTTCCGATTTTCTTATCATTTAAACCAAAAAGTTATCTTGTGATTTATAATGCTTCATCTCTGCCAGCTCTGATCTGTGGAGTGCCTCAGGGATCTGCTCTTGGCCTGTTTTAAATTCTGGGCCAATTAATTCAAATGTTAAATTTACTGACGAAATAAAGATGTGCAATGTGCAAATGGCTTTGCTTTAGCCCTTTATCCCCTGAATCTGTAGATTCTTTTACCATCCTTTTATTATACATTTTTTATATACTTATTCAGTATGCTTATGGATATGAGTGTGTGTGTGTGTATACATATGTATATGTGTGTGTACGTGTGCATATATGTATATATGTGTGTGTGTAAATGAACATGCGTGTGGGTATACATGTTCTTATGTGTTTTTATGTATTTTTATTCTCATTTATTGTAGTTGTTGTATGTTTTAGAGAGCGAACATCTACCAAAGCTAAATGCCTTCTAAATGTAATTTTACTCGGCCAATAAATCTGAAATCTGAATCTGCAAATGTTACAGTTTTGCATAACATGTTGCCAGGTTTCTGTAAAACCAAATATCCTCCATTTACGAAAAAAATAAATAAATAAATACAACTCGGGTTCATATCACCTCCTTTTCAGTGAAAAAAATCCAGTGCATGTGATGCACATTCATAGAGCATGCCAAGCCTGTAGGTGGCAATAGTTCCCCAAATCTTTAACACCCTTGCCAAAAAAAAACTTCCTTTCACAAAAAATAACTGATGAGCAATAACCATTCTTATTGCCATCCATTGTCCAGTAATCAGAAGGTTGCAGGTTCAATCCCAGCTCTGACAGGAACTTTGGCTGTTGTGTCCTTGGGCAAGACACGTAATCCACCTTGCCTGCTGTTGGTGGTTGGAGGGACAAGTGGTGCCTGTGCTCGGCAGCCTCACCTCCATAAGTGAGCCCCAGGGCTGCTGTAGCTACATTGTAGCTCATTACCATCAGTGTGTGAATGTGTGATGAGTGATACACTGTAATGTAAAGCACTTTGGAGTCCTCTGACTCTGAAAGGTGCTATACAAGTTTGGGTCATTTATCATTTGTCATATCTTCACTTTCTGTGGATAACAGGCCAAAACGTGTAAAATAGCCCTTTTGTGGGATACCCGGTTATGTTTGTTGGGTCTGAGATTAGAAACCTGATGCCATCTAACTGAAGCACATTTTTGAACCAAGTTCCTGTCATGATTACCTGGTTTGGTTCCTACCTTTAAAAAAGATTTTCATTATGCCTGATAATGGTGGTGCTTCTCTGCCTTCACTGTGTGGGGTGCCTCAAGGATCTGTATTTAAAACCTTCCTATTTTTTTTACACAGGTCAGGTGAAAACTCAATTTATTTCAGTAATCCATTCTTAGCCATAATCCTCAAAATTCAAACAAACAAAGGTTTGAAATATCTTGCTTTGCGTGCTCACTTTTAAGTTCCATGCATCCATTTTCTCAACCCGATTTTCCACGCATGGTCACGGGGGGTTGGTGCCTATCTCCAGCTGTCTTTGGGCAAACAGGCGGGGTACACCCTGGACATATTGCCAGTCCATCACAGGGCAACACAAAGATGCACAGGACAAACAATCATGCACACACACTCACGCCTATGGACAATTTAGAGAAACTAATCAACCTGACAGTCATGTTTTTGGAATGTGGGAGGAATCCAGAGTACTCGGAGAGAACACACGCATGCACAGGGAGAACACGCAAACTCCGTGCAGAGAGACCCCAGGCCGGGTTGTGAACCCAGGACCTCTTTGCTTCAAGGCAACAGCGCTAACCACTGTGCAGCCCCTCACCTTTAAGTTGAAGTAATTTGAAGCAAAAATTAAAAAAGGAAAAAAACTGATGCCTAAAAATAAATTAAACACTTAGTGAAGTCATGGGTCAGTTTGTTCAATTCATGCATGGAAGGGTTAACCCTTAGAGGTCCTTTGTGAATTTTTCTGTGCGAGGGCCCCCAGTGTAGCTTTTTTGAAGGAACCTCCAAGGATTAATCTGAGCATTTTTCACTTTGCACATCATTCCTTAACTTATCTTTGAGAAATCAAGTTGAAAACAGGATGCATTGGACCGAAATATCCCATAAAATAGCTTTCTAGGAAAATGAAGATAAGGTGAAGTCCAGTAAAAACAGAGTTTAGAATAGTTTGCTAGCTTTGCTTAATCAGTTGTTTTGTTTTTCCCTGGTTCCTGTTTGGCTTTGGGACTGTTGCTAAATGCGTATTACAAATAACTGTAATGGCATTTAGAAAGTTACGACCCTTTGAGACATGTGTCAATCATTTGCTAGAGAACACTTTAGTCAAACATTCACTGAAAGTGATATAAAAACATTCTAAAAAAAATAACAGGAATTTTTAATTATCTTACAGCTATTTTACTCTAGTTGTACACTTATTGTCCAAGAGTGATAAATTGTAGAAATAAATACTACATTTCACTACATTTTTATGGGTGTGGATGTTTAACATCAACTATTTTTTATAAAAAAAAAAAAGGTTTCAAAGATTTGCATCAGCAAAATGAAAGAGTATGATCTGCTATTGCGGGAATCCTCCAGAAGTTTGATGATTGAAAATAACTTCACACTTTTAGTAGCTTGTTAGCTTAGCATGTTTCAAATAGTGTTACAAATGTATGTTAATAAAGTAAAACGACACAAAAACCAAACATACATACACTCAGTACACAATAGGCTCTTTATTACACTGAAATATAAAAGTATATATATATATATATATTTATTTATTTATTTATCACTATCCTGGAGAAAGGACCAAGTCAAGAAAACAACTTGTAGCCTCAGTTGTAGCAGTTTTCTCATTGTCATACGAAAGACAGAAAAGAAACAAAAAGAACCAAATAAAAAGATTTGGAATCGAAAACAGGAAGGCCACAGTGATGGGTTGTTGTTGATTCTGTGCACATATGAGGGAAGGAGGCAAACAGCTGCCACACACACAAACACACACACACACACACACACACACACACACACACACACACACACACACACACACACACACACACACACACACACACACTTGTTAATCCTTTACTTGTGAGGACCTGCAACATTTAGTATACCCTGTGGTTAAATTTAGTCTTCACCTGATGCAGAAACACCTGCTGTGCACGAGTTACTCTTTTTCTATGATCACAACAAAAAAAAGTGCTAAATTAATTAAATGATACTGTAAGTGTGTCTGTGCATGCACCTTTGACCTGCAGCAATATCTTCACTGGCATATGTTTGTGTTTGTTACATTTCTCAGAAAAAAAGTGCTGCTTTGAGTTTTTAAAAGGTTGCAATGAAGGAAAATGTCACATATTTGTGAAGTTTAAAAAATTTTTGTAGCAAAAAAATAAAAATCTGCTCACCCAAAATACTAAGTTGCATCTTATTTTGACAGGAAGTGAAAGAGCTGTGAAAGGCCTTTGTTAAAGTTGCATTTTCTATTTTTCATAAGTATAATCAGTCTCATTTTAAATCACTTTACACTAAAGAAGAAACTACAGTTTTCTGCTAAAGTGCACTTCCTATATCAAATTGAAATGAAAAGCCCTCTAGTTTCTTCAGATCGAGGCACTTCGTTCTTTACTAACTTTGAGACGGTTTCTTCTGCAACAGCAGCAAATGACAACACAGCGAAGCAGATGAAGTAACTAAACATCATATTATCTTAAACTCCAGGTTCTTTATATCAACATCAGCTTCCTTTTTCTTTCATTATTCAGTCAAGTTGATGAATACAGTAAACAAGAACCATCATCTCATCACAAAATAAAAACAATGATCTAGTCATATTTTTATATGGATGTGATCTGGATTAAATTCTTGTTTTTTTGCACTTCCTCAACCATCAAATCTTGTTTTTATAATCTTTATTATAAGATGTATGTTCTAAACAGTTAAAGTTCTTGTCATTATAAAAACTCAGCTGCATTTTTATCTTGTTTATTTACAGATAAGACAAACAAAAACCTTCCTGTATTTAAACTAAGCTAAGAAACCCATGATGTGTTCCCTTAGACGTGTTTTAATAACACCTAGAATGTAAATCAGCTCCTCTAATCCTTGTGTGTTTTGGTGTGATGTCTTACTGCAAGTTTAACCCCGTTGAAGGGGAAACAAAAAAATAATGCTGCGTTTTTCAGAATAATCAAACACAATGAAGATTTTGGTTACATTAAAGTGTGTTTCTGAAGAAATAGTTTCAAATGTATCCATTATGAAACAAAATCAGCTCTCTGAGACTTATAAAAGTATGGTTATATTTGCAAATAACTACAATATTGTGCAAAACTTACTAAATTGACATGGATACAGTTTGAGTTTCAGATTGGTAAGACTTTTACGCTTTTTTCTCAGTACAGAGGCCTACATTCATGAGGCCATCTACAACAGGTAAGATCATATTTATTTACAGGCACACTTCAAAATGGCAAAAACATTCTTTAAAGAATAACACTTCTGGTTTTTGTAACTTTAATACCACAAAAATGGAGAGATTTTATTTAAATTTGTTACTGGATTTTTAAAAAGAAAAAAAAGTTAAATTTATTATTGAAATATGAAAATGTAAAAAAGCTCCCTGCAAGTTTACAATGGACAAAAACAAACAGTTTGGAAGCATTTTTGGATTCGGTTTGGCCTTTTTATCTACATTGTTTAAAAAGCTTCAGTATTGGTCCCTCATTTATGTGATTTTATATTATAATTACAATATAAATGAAGCAGTTCATAGCACAAAAATAAAAGCTACGCAAGGGATGTTTGAGGGGCAGGAGCTTATGATCCTGAAACTTAATCAAGTTCTGGATTCTGTGATGGAAACCATGTTTAGGCCAAGAACTTTGTTTTTTAGAGGAAAGAACATCCTTTTGCTAAAATGTCCCTACTTTCAACTGCTATACTTACTGTCCTCACATATCAGGAAAACCAACAGAAACACACACACACATACACACACACACTGGAGGTGAAGGCCACAAAGTGGACGCAGTACAGCACAGAGGTCACCTGATCCGACCGGGCTACAGAGGTTGAAGATTTCTTTGCCGTCAGTGGCATAAAGTACCAATGCGGTCGCCACGGCAGCCGCAGCTCCATGTTCGATTACCGTGGCGACAAGCCACGGTCAGTCAGTACCAATGGCACAGCAAGACCGCAGTGAACTGAACAAATAAGACTTGATGAAAGAAAAACATAAATGAAGTAAACACAGGATAAGGCGGCAAAGGGGGAAAAGATGGCAGACTCCATGGTGCTTAATCGTTGCTGATCGTGACGATTATTTGGCACAAACTCAGTTTTGTCTGAAGTGTCAAAACTAGCAGTGATAATGTTTTTCAGATGTGATCAGAGTGGGCTGATGAGCATGCTTTAGTCCTCATTTGGACAGGCTCTTCTTTATGTGCTCTACTTCCACCTGAAAAACAAAAACAACAATTTTTGTTCCCATTTTCCAATAATTCAAGCTCATTTTGCCATTTTTTTCAGTGTTTATTTCTTTGAAGACTTCACATTAAAATACACTGAAATGAGTGCATGGTCTTTATTTTTTATTACTCTCACCTGTAAACTAACACGTATCTTCTTCTCTTCGTCCAGCGCGTTGGACAGCTGCTTCATCTCCTGCCTGAAATACAAACAACAAACCCATTTTGTGTTTCTGCAATCACCTAAAAACCTACAAGCAAATATGAGGAGACTCACTTGTGCTGGCTCTTCAGCAGCTCTATGGAGGCTCTCAAGTCTCTCAGCTGGTTCCTGAGTTCCTCCAGCGTTGGTGGCATCAGTGGTGCTTGCCGGAGCTCCGGGGAGGGGGTCAGATGCGAGGAGGAGGATGGGGAGATGGAGCGATGGCCGGAGTTTGGTGGAGACAGGACAGAGGGCTTCGACAGAGCTGCTTTACTGTCTGGTACCTAACCAAATTTCACATGTATAAAAATTTGCATTTTTTTCTCCGAGACTTGAAAAGTTATCCATCAGAAATTAGAAACATAAATGCCGTGGGTTGCATTGAGTTTAAAGTTTTTACAACATTTTCTTTTTTGTAGTGCAGGCTGTCAGCCGTTTTGTTGTCAGTTGTACTTAATCCATTATTATGGTCATTGTGAAGCAGAAAGCAATCAGATAGTGAAATAAATGGCAGGTAAAAAAAAAACAATATAAACTTCCAGTTTGGCAAATTTGGCCCAACCCTCACACTACCGGTACAAATACCAATACCTCATGTTGTGTCTGCAATTTTTTTTAATTAAAGTAAATTTAGCAGACATCGTGAAACAAATGCTTTGAGCTGCTGCAGCCTAGGAACTGCTGCAGAATGACACCAGCAGAGCTTTTATCAGGCACTTCCTGCACTTTCACTGGAGTGGTGAAGATTTGATTGGGTGGTTGGGTGAGATCAAAATGGTATTTACAAGTTTTGCTATTTTTTTGGGTTCCCTTTAGAGACACAAAACCAGCCCTTTTTATTTTAGAAGTATTACTTTCATAGTTAAAATAGCATAAATTATATGTTGTTGTTTTTTACCTTTTTACATTTCAACCAATAATGAAAATAATACAAAATAATAAAAACTACATTCAATTTGTAGTTTTCAGGAAAAAAAAATCAAGTTTTAGCTCGCCTATTACTAAAAAAAAATGTCATAAAACGAAAATGTTTCAATTGAAAACGTGTGGTTTGGTGCCCCCATGTGGCAGAAACAGAGAGCACACCAGTTCTTACTGGGATAATGGGAATTCCTTTCCTCAGGGACACGTCCATAGGTCTGACAGAGATGGACTCATGTTCTTCCTTCTTCTTGTCCTTCCTGTCAGTCGCTACAAGAGAGTCCAGGTCTGTACAGGACAGCGAGGACTTCCAGAGACAGAAAATATGTTCAGAAATTTGTTTTTTTTTTCTTGTTACCATCAAAATCACAAAAAAATAATCATTTAAACATGACACAAAAATACTTTTTTTTTTGCATTTGCAGGATTAATCTAAAGAAATATGTTTGCCGCTATAAAACATTCTGTGAAATGTTTAGTTTAAAAGTTATAACTTTTGAAAATGTGTATACAGTATTTGTTTATTTTATTAGTAGCAAAAATAATTTTCTTTGACTTGCACAGTTTGAAAATGAACTAAAGCTGCAGAATGAGTGTATAAAAGTATTATTGTGGCATGTGAGCAAATTTAGAAAAAATTAAACTAAGATGTTTTGTGGCTTGTAATCTGATTACTGGAGGGATATCCAAAGTATGGCCCGAGGGCCATTTGCAGCTCAAGGGCTGATTTAAGGGCTTTCTGCTATTTGGCTTGCCAACTTCGGCTGCTGATCCTGTTCTTGTTGCTGATAATAAACTTAACTTGGCGTTATAAAAGAAACTCGATAATCAACCAACCCAATCTTAGGAATTTAATTTTACTATCTATTTTATTAAATAAGGGATTTGTTCCTTTGTGCATAGTTGTACAAGAGGATTTTGTTTAAATATGGTATAGAAAGGGTCTTTTACATTACAAACTGTACTTTGAGCCGCTATAAAACATATGTGACTTTATTGGGGCTCACAATGACCCAGTAGCCCTGATAAAGGGCCAAAATGGGGGTGGGATTTTCTCAGAATGAACCGTGTCTCCATGTCCATTACACGGAAAAGCAGGTCACGCAGATCTTGTGGTGTGGTACATTAGACCCTCCAACAACAACGAGCTAAATGTGGTTTTACATTCTAGGGCAACTTTCATCCGTCAATCTGTGTCTTCGTGGTGTTTTATCACCTGCTGTTTATAAAATAAAAACCAAAGGATGTATTTTGGCATTACCGACTGAGGTCTGTTCTCAAAGACACTCACAGGTGCGATGATCTGAGAGCGAGGTCGGCGGTCCATGACACGAGGCCGTGACACAGTCGGGTGACTGAGCTTCTCCGTGGACGTGACGACCACGTCCAGGTCCACATCTGAAACACAAGATAACACTCAGAGGTCACGCTAACACTGCTGTAAGAGAGAGAGAGACTCGATGCTCCGGTCAGTCCGACTCACCGGCGACTTGTGACCTGTCAGGGGCAGAATCTGGTGTCGAAGCCCCGCCTTCAGATTTGGGGCTTTCACACCTGAGTAGGTAAATCATACCATACTGTTAAAACAGGTGTAGTGAGAGATGCTGTGTATGTGTGTGTATACTTGTGTGTACTGACGCTAGAATAGGTGGTCTCTCTGGACGTCGTGGGGGATGGGAAGCGGAGGAGGAGCTTGACTTTGGGGGGAGGGGCTTCTTGAGAAGGTGGGTGGGGAGGGAGGGTTTAGGGATTTCTCCAGTCTTCATATCTTCACCTAAACACACAAAGAATACTTGCAGAGCCCAAAACAAATTCAAAATGGGAGAAGAAGAATAAAAGCCGCAGCAGCAGCAACAACGTGACCTTTCAAGAGAAATTCTCAAAAAGGCAGCAGAGAGAAACAATGAGGGGAAAAAGGTTTAAAGATGCCGACGGCTGCAGGAAGAAAAGGAAGAAACAGCTGCAGAGGAGGAAGAGAGTTAAAAGGATCAGGCAGCAAGGTGGAAGCAGCAGGATTAGCAGATTTTATCAAGTAAAACATCAAATCCAGCTTAATGCTTTAGGAAACAAAGGAAGAGACGATCCCAGCTGAAATATGTTTTACTCTATCTGGCTTCAAACGGGATTCAAAATCTCAGGTCAAATTAAAGTCAGTTTTCGTTCTGGAGCTCAGAAGCTCACTTGTGTCACCATAATCCACCCTCCGGGATCAGATTAATGTTTGTTAGTACGTTAAACTCCAACAAATCCTCTAAAAATCAGCCTCAAAAATAAAATACATAAATACGCCAATATAAAAATCAAAACATGAAATTAATAACATATTTTTTTTATTACTGGCAGCAAATCTTTATGATTTCTTTAATGCAAAAAGAACAGTGACTTTAAAGGGAGCCCAGGCAGTTTTGGCTTGCTTTTAGCATCCCCTAGTGTCCATTTGTAGAATCGAAAGAAAAACTTATTTCCTCACTGTGCGTTTGTCTTTTCAACGCCTTAATCGAACAGCTGAATGTCTCCCCAGCCTTCTTTTATTTGACTTTTTCATCCAAATTACACAGATTTTCCTTTTTTGGTCTCAGAATTTCGTGGATTTAAAGACAGACTTCCTTAAACATCTGCTATTGTGGAGGTTTGTTTCCCTTGCTTCACTTGTTCACCTATCTATGTATTTCCTCTTTTTGACTTGATGAGTCTGCGGTTAGGGTTGAGTCTGTCTGTCTTGCAGCAGCGGTAACTTCCTGTTGCATCAGCCAGATGCTGATGCTCGTTCTCAATCAAAGTTCTTTTAGTCTTGAACAAAGGAGGGGAAACGGCTGCAGAGGAGATCTCAACAGGAAACGAGTCACTTAGCAGGAAGTGAGTTAGCAGGAGAAGAGAGGAGGTCCAGGTTTTACCTCGTTCCTGGTCTCTCAGGGGAAGATGCTCAGGCCGCTCAGGAGGAAGTTTCTTCGCTTCACATTTTTTCTCTACGGGTTAAAGTTTTGTGGTTTTACTCATCTCCTTTAAAAGGAAAAACGTAAACAAAGAGGAATAAAAATGGAGCAGTTACCTGCGGCGTGTTTCACTGACGGAGCGCTGGGTGGTGGGGGTTTCTTCGGTCTCTGAGGGGGAAAAAATAATCTGAAAATTGTCCCAGGAGCTATTTAAGAGCAAGGCTTCAAACGTAGAGAAACATAACTGCTACCTCTTTCTCAGCTTCTAGCATTTTGACAAAGTTATCTGGGAAGACACCTTGCCTCCCACCAATCTCCCCCATCCACCATCCTGCGTCAGCGCAGTCCTGAGGAAACACAACACGTGCTTAAAGGGGGTCTTCATCAGTGTTCATCACACAGATAATCTGTTCTAACCTTGGTGATGATGTTGATAATTTCACCCTCTTTCAGCGTGAGTTCGTCTTCATTTTGGGCCTCGTAAGGAAAAAGGACTTTGCACTGCTCCCGCACTGTCACCCAACGGCATAAACACAAGAAATTAATCAGAAAAACCACATTAATAAAGCAGGACACTCAGGAAAACTGCATTAGATGTGTGGCTACAACTGGTCCAAATCATGGTGTCAGCTCTGGCGCTCCCGTTTCAGGAAGTAGAAGTTAGCCGGGGGGGTGGGGGGGTGGGTGGGTGGGGGCAGAATATTGCACGTTTTGGAGTCTTACTGATTATCATTCATGATGTTCAGACATCTTGTCTCTGATTGGCTGACAGCAACACCACTCTTCCACTATCTCCATTCGCTCTGCAATGTGGATGTTTCATCTCTACAAATAAGATCTGCCTTGTTTATGTTTATGTATTTAGCAGACGCTTTTGTCCAAGGCGACTTACAAGTGATAATCGGCATGTTGCCCTTGAGGCTAACAACAACAATAACAACAACAACTTGACATAAATCATGGAGAGGAGGGAACAAGGAGTGGACAGTAGAGAGGGGGGACGGGTGCAGGGAGGGTGCTAGTTTAGAAGATGCTCTCTGAAGAGCAGGGTCTTCAGGAGTTTCTTGAAAATTGAAAAGGAAGCCCCTGTTCTGGTAGTGCTTGGTAGGTCATTCCACATTTGTGGAACGATGCAAGAGAAGAGTCTGGATTGTCCTGAGCGTGGTGTAGGCACTGCTAGCCGACGATCCTGTGATGACCGGTGCGGTCAGGCCGAGACGCAAGCCTTTGCAAGAAGATTCAGGTAGATGGGAGCCGTACCATCTCGGACTTTGTATGCTATTATTAGCAATTTGAATTTGATGCGTGCTGCTAGCGGTAGCTAGTGGAGCTCAGTGAACAGAGGGGTGAAATGTGCTCTTTTTTTCTGATTGAAGACCAGATGCGCCGCTGCGTTCTGGACCATTTGAAGAGGTCTCACAGTACAGCCTGGAAGACCAGTTAGAAGGGCATTGCAGTAATCGAGGCGGGAGATGACAGTAGATTGCACCAGGAGCTGGGTGGCATGTTGTATTAGGAATGGTTTGATCTTTCGTACATTATACAGCGCAAAGCGGCATGAACGAGCAACAGAGGCAACATGATCTTTAAAGGTCAGGTGTTCATCAATCACAACACCCAGATTTCGAACTGCCTTTGAAGGAGCCAGAGATAGGAAGTCATTTTGGATTGAGATATTGTGCTGTATAGATGGTTTTGCTGGGATGACAAGTAGTTCAGTTTTAGAGAGGTTGAGTTGGAGATGGTGGGATTTCATCCATTTTGATATGTCAGAGAGACAGTTTGATATTCTTGCAGAGTGTGTGGTCGTCCGGAGGAAATGACAGAGAGCTGGGTGTCGTCTGCATAGCAGTGGTAGGAGAAGCCATGTGATCGAATGATCTCGCCCAGTGAGGTGGTGTATATGGCAAAGAGAAGAGGTCCTAGTACAGTGCCCTGGGGGACTCCTGTGGCAAGATGGTGCACGGTAGAGGATTGTCCAAGCCAAGATACACTGAATGATCGTCCTGTGAGGTACGATTCAAACCAGGCGTGTGCTTTCTCTGTGATGCCCATGTTAGAGTGTGGACAAAAGGAAGCCATGGATAACGGTGTCAAAAGCTGTCAGAATGAGGACAGTAATTCATGAAATTTCAATTGATCACCAGGATCTTTTGTTTTGCACCGTTTCCGTTCCGCAGCTCTAAGATTGGTGCGTAGAGACCGGAGGGTATCATGTAGCCAAGGGTGCGACTGAGAGGATCTAGCTGGTCTAGTGGCTAAAAGGCACAAGTTGTTAAGACTAGAGCAGAGTGTGGAGCAGAGTGACTTGGTGGCATCATTCACTTCATAGGCAGAGAATGTGCTGGGAGATGGAAGAGTGGAAGCAACAAGAGAGGAGAAATGGTTGGGTGCCAGATTGCGGAGGTTGTGGCGGAATGAGACCATTGGGGAGGAAGCAGTGGACCTCCCTTGTAGAGTTGTGTTGAAATGGATGAAGTAATGATCGGAAAGATGCAGCGGTGTGACAGAGATTGTGTATATGGCACAGTTTCTGGTGAAAATGAGGTCAAGTGCTTTTCCAGCTTTGTGAGTTGGAGGACTTTGTACTAGTTTTAGATCAAATGATGACATTAGTGACAGGAAGCCCGAAGAGCTGGGATTGTCCAGGTGAATATTCATGTCTCCAAGGACCATTGTGGGACAGTTGTGCTTAGGAATGGAGTAGAGCAGGGTGTCGAGTTCATCAAGAAAGTCTCCGAGTTGACCTGGTTGGCAATATATGACAACCAAAAACTAAACTAGCACCCTCCCTGCACCCCTCCCCCCTCTACCGTCCACTCCTTTGTTCCCTCCTCTCCACGATTGATGTCAAGTTGTTGTTATTGTTGTTGTTAGCCTCAAGGGCAACATGCCGATTATCACTTGTAAGTCGCTTTGGATAAAAGCGTCTGCTAAATACATAAACATAAACAAAAATATTTTTTTCAGTACAGTTACCTGGATGACATGGTATTCAAAGGAGTTGTATTTAGTGATGGTAGCAACTGACTATATCCATTTGTTGGAAATTAACATGCCCATTCCACCACCTCGGCCAGATGCACGTGAAGTGTGGGAGAAAGTGTGGTTAACTGAGAGCAGATGGGGTAGCATTGTCACATGGTTTGATCCAGGTCTCAGTGAGAGCCAGTGCATCGAGTGACAGGTGGTTTGCATATGCGGTAAGGAAGTCTGCTTTGTTTACAGCTGATTGGCAGTTCCAAAGTCCCACAGACAGGTGGGTGTCTTAGGGGGAGTTGGTTTTAGCAAGCGGAGGTTTTGAAGGTTGCAAAAGAGGTTTGCTGTGTGTGACCTTCCTCTGAAGCCAGTGATCACAGGTATAGGATAATGGCACATTTTGCAAGGTGTCGATGGAGCAGCGTCTGGGTTGAGTTTGTTTGCCCTGTGTACCTGCTCTGTGGACACGCGCAGGTAGACACGTATGTCTTTACCCCGGAGTGTCTTCACACCAGAGGAGCTGAGACACAAGGGCTGACGCTTCAGTTATGCCACCAAATTTATGCTGTGCTACTAGTTGGAAACAGGTGTTCATGCAGCAGCTGATTGCAGTGGTTGAGACATAGATCACCAGATGAGTGTTTTCAGGGAGGGGAGAAACAGCTCAATCACAGCCCCTGATTGCACTTTTTGTTTTCAGTTGGCCCAGACTGGAGCTACTAGACAACAGGATTACCCACAGATGAGTTTCCTTCTCTTTCCCAATGGAAGATAGTGCAAAGCAAAAGTTTAAGAAGACAAAAGCAAGCACTAACAGACACTCAAGGCCCTTCGGTGCAGATTCAAGTCTGTTGTGGAGTTGCTAATGCTAACAGTTAGCTTCTACTAACAGCTAGCTTCTACTAGCCGAGATGTTCTACTAGCTGAGACGTTCTCTGCTGTTTCCTGGATGCTAAACCAACAGCCTTCCTCATTGCGAGACACAGTGTGACGTAGATCTGTGTGGCTTTTTCTGTTGTGACCGTTTCACCGTCTATTTTTATTTGGTGGCTAAAGCAGGAAACAGAGGTGGAAGCATGCATGAGAAACTAGGAGTGACCAATAGTATTAAAAAAAATAAGTATTACACGTTTCTCAGTAAACTTGCTCTTTGAAGGTGTTTATGCAGTGTTGCACCCTGGAAACACCCTGGAAATATTTTTAGTTATTTTAGTAACATTGCATTACATTTTTTCTTTTGTTTGTACATTTAAATCTTCCAAAGAAGTTCAATTATTAAAAACAATTGTAGTTATTTTTGTTCAGGCACAGAAGCGACTAGAAAAGGTGATGCTACGTCATGAAGAGGTCCTGTGTGGCCAGTGTGTAATGGTGTCGGTTCGTGGTTGGCGCCCGCTGCTCCAGAGAGAACAAGCCAAGAAAAAATCAATGCAGCATGGGGCAAATAAAGTTGCCAAACAGAAAACGGAGTCCTGTCTGTTATAGGAGTGCAACAGCAGCATGAACATGAAAATAGTCGCCTACACCTATCTCCTGCATTAGCTTCTGAAAAGCTAATAGAAAAATAGAAAATAGACGGTGAAACTCTAGGATTAGAAAATCCTGACAGATCTACGTCACACTGTCACTAACATTCATGGACTCACCCATCTTGACTCACTATGGGGAAGGCTGTTGTTGGTTTAGTGTCCAGGAAACAGCAGAGAACGTCTCAGCTAGTAAAAGCTAACTGTTAGCATTAGCAACTCCACCACACAGCAGAACTCCTCCAGGCTTGTGCTATTTGTGGAGATAAAACATCAACGTTGCAGAGCGGATGGAGGTAGTAAAAGAGTGGTGTTGCTGTTAGCCAGTCAGAGGCAAGATGCCAAATCCTGCTGTCTGAAACTACTTTCTCCTCTGGGTGAGTATTTCATGCTGAAATAGGTGCACTGGAGCTATTTTAAATTTGATCAAAGTGGCCTTCTAAAAGCTCTTAACAATTTTAAATTTGGCTTCCCTATTGATCTCGAACCTCCCGCCATAAGAACAGCTTCTTTCCATCTGCCGTTAGACTTGTGAATAGCTTATAAACACACAACCATGCTCGTCTTCTGTACTCGACACAACGTCATGTTATCGGCCATGTTACCATTACCTGCCATTTTTTATAGTTGAAAGTTTTATTCTAGTTTGTTTTTGTTTTTTTTATTATTATTATATTTTATTCTATTCATTCTATTTTTAATCTTATTATTCATGTTATATGTAGCACATTAGCGCCGAAGCAAGTTCCTAGTTTGTGAATTGTTTGTTCACTGACAATGGCAATAAACCTATTCTGAATCTGAATCTGATTCTGATTCTTATACCTGCAGATAAAATGTCTAAATGCTATTGTGCAAAAAACAAGAATTTTCCTTCCTGCTTTTGTAATTTTTGGATCATGTTTAACATTCTCAAAATCCCTTAAAGCCACAGAGTTAACAACACGTCATTAGATGTGGCGATAAGGAACAATAGTGCTTCAGAACAAAAGGAAACCTGCACATAACATAGGAAGTGATAAAGAACTTGATTTATAAATGTAAGAGCCAGACTTTCTGAGGTTTTGTAATCGTTCACCAAAACGTTCTCACCTTTGGTTTTGCCATCTGGTTCAGTCTTCATGCTTTCAGCCGCAACGCTTGCTGGTTTCCCTTCGACCTGAGACGTAGACAGACAACAGGAAGACTTCAGTTGCAGACTTTGCAGGATGGTTTGGTTTGAGGTTTCTTTGTTATTCCTGAAGCATCATACTCTGTAGAAGCTGAAGTTAACACCATCAGTCTTTTTTATTCAAATTTTTCTGGTTTCAGACGATTTTATTTAATTCAACTGTTGTCACATTTCGGCTTCATTTCTTGCCACGTCTTTCTACAAAAGCGCTGGACTGGCTCATGTCGAAACACTTTAGTTTTCATGACTTTAATGTCATTTTTAAATATTTCCACGTCTAATTAGAGGAGACTTGCACATAAAATGCAAAACATTAGGTCACCAATATCAGTTGGTTTTGCTGAAAAATTTGATTTTTTTTTTGCCAAACAGAGAAACTGGGAAGACACTTTGCACCATATGATGACCGATTTCTAAAGTTTTATTCTAACAAGATTTCATCATCTTTGGTATGTTCTTGCTGTGTCTAGTTTATAATTCCATTTTAGTTCTTTTTATAACACAGAAAAGTTTTTTTTTACCTTGCTGACAGTTTCGTTTGCCGACTGCAAAACTTCCTCAGAGCTTACGCTGATGGTGGCGTCACTTCCTACTCCGCGGATAAACGGAGTAGGAAGTGAGTAGGAAGTGACGCCACCATCAGCGTCTGATGAAGTTTTGCGTCTGATGAACTCTGAGGAAGTTTTGCAGTCGGCAAACGAAACTGTCAGCAAGGTTAAAAAAAACTTTTCTGTGTTATAAAAAAGAACTAAAAATGGAATTAACAAGATTTTATGATTTCGTGAACAGAATAGAGCTTCGTTTGTGTTTTGATAAATTTTGTTTTATCAAATTTTGAAGCTCAAATGACTAAATCCTTTTAGCTTATTCATGTTTGGTTAATTGGTACTAAATGCTGAAGAAATTAACCGTTTAAAGGAACACTAGATAGTTTTTAAAACTTTACGCTAGAGCTTTAATCTTTCCACCTCAAACAGCTCTAATATGTAATTTTTCATTGCATTATTTCCAAAGTGATGCCCTTTTGTGGACTATTTTCTAATCAATGTCTCCAAAAGACATAAAAGCGCATCCAGTGTTACATTAATATTTTTGATGTTGACATTTCCATCCAGCCAGGAGCATTTTTACATTTTTTTAAAGCAGAAGTAAGAGAGTCTTCTACATTTGCTGCTATTTTCCACCAGGTTTCCAGATTTTAAATATGTTGGTTTCTGTGTTCCCCTGCAGGCAGACACGTCCCACCAAAAGCAAACCTCCACCTCAGCTCACATCTTTATTAAAATAAATAGATACAGAAAAGCTCCACTTCTCTCTTATGAATGGTTTTATTTATCCCAGAGACGGATTTAGTTCTAGAACCAGTCAGCTGATCGTGTGTGTGTGTGTGTGTGTGTGTGTGTGTGTGTGTGTGTATGTGTCTGTGTATGTGTATGTGTGTGTGTGTGTTTTCCTGTGGAAGAGCCAATCTGGTTCCACAAACACCAACCAATGATCCTCTCCAACCGCAACACAACGATCTCTTTAATGACACACACACACACACACACACACACACACACACACACACACACACACACACACACACACACAGGGTCTGTTCTGTTCTCCCTTCAACACTTCCTCCCCCGTTTCCCTTCTCCCTCCCTAATGAGACCCGTGTGGAGACGCGAGCTTGGAGGCATCGCTGCTGAGGAGTGTTAGCACGACCAGCTATCACATGCCACTGGGCGAGGGCTCAAACTGACGTCTGAAGGCCACTGGTGACACTAGGAAGGACTCAGAGGGTTAACCATTAAAGTTTCACTAGTGAAAGACCATCATTGTTTGGGTTCAAAATATCTGAAAACCCACCAAGGCACAATTAAATCTCTGGTTCTTATTTACAAAAAGGCAACGCCAGCCACAAGCATTCACTTAGCCATCATTTAACACAAATTGCACATCAAGACATTTTCAAACATTGTCTTCCATTAAATATTGTGTGAAATTAGACTAAGCTTGTAAATATTTCCCTAGTTTTTTGGCAAAGACCTTTAACGGTTTATTTTGTATGCCAAAAAGCTTTGATGTGTTTATTTAATGCTTTCTTAATCCTTAGTTACATGAACATCATGTGAAAGTAGACGTTTTATTCTGAAACCCTTGACTGATCAAACGAGACGAGAATCAGTTTCTAAATGATGCTCTTTCCGGACCAACTGGTGCTTCCTTTTATCCTCAGATGTTTTCTGCTTTCCAAGTTGGAAAACAGGACAAAGAAAAAAGAAGCAACAAAAATAGGAAGAGTATTAAAGTCACCTCTATAAAAATAATCAGTGTACAGGATAGTCCTTGATTCTATTGATTCACATACACCGGTGCTAATGTGTTGATAATACCAACTGTAGCAGCTTCTTTCCATTGAAAACGCCGCTGTGGGCGAGTGGGCCAGGCTGTGACGCGTCTTCCAATAAACCATTCTGAATCGTCTTATTTTTTATTTGTGGTTAAAATACATAGGTTGGGATAAATGAATTGGCTTCTGTTATAGTAAAAGGTTTAAAGTAACAACGATAACGACGGCCAACAGAAAAGTTTTCATGACAACTGCTCACTGGCTAGTTGGACGTTCAACTGACAGATAAGAGGTAGGAGACCATCGCTTCCAGAATAGATCTGCCATATACTAGACTTGTTTCCATCTTCGACGTAAATACAGGTCTTCCTTGTGAAAGCATCCTGGTGGAAGTGATGGTATCGTTTTCAGAAGTAGCTGATGGTTAGGGGTCAATGTTTCATGGTCATTCGGATCCGTAGAAGCTTTTGTAATGGGTCGATGGTTTAAAACAGCTTCTGCTTCACAGAGAACTGTCCTGAGACTCTCTTCATCAAGCTTTTGTAAGTTTAAGACGGACTTGAGAACTCTTCTTACAGATCGTATGAGTCTCTCCCATACGCCGCCATGATGAGAACCAGTTGGTGGATGAAAAGTCCATTTTATGTTCTTTTTGAGAAGCGTATTGTGTCTACGACTTTGATTCCATCCTTGTATCATTTCCTTTAGCTCACGATAGGCACCAACAAAACTGGTGCCGTTGTAAGATCTTAGTTCTTTCACTTGACCTCGTCTGGCGATAAAGTGGCGAAGGGCATTGATAAATGAATCTGTATCCAGTGATGATGCCACCCCTCTGGGATTAATAAAGTATCTTTGAATTGAATTGAATTGAATTACCTTCATTTGAACCCTTTTGGATTACCATGACCTGGATGACTAAGAACCTTTCCCAGCATGCCCATATGCCAGTTTGTATCTCATTACATCTCAGTTCTTTGCTCCAAAAGAAGTATTCTCATGTTTATTGCAAGATTGAGGCAGCCATATTGGATCTTGCGGTTGGGGCTCACGCTTGCAGAGGGAGGTGGCTGCTATAACAAATGTTTGTAACCCATTAAATCCCTCACACTGGGGAACATGTGGCTACACTGAGCTCAGCAGAGGAGGAATTCCCTCCGGAGACTGAAACATTCCCTCTACCATTCCCACCTTAACACTAGTTAACACTACTGAAAGCATCCTGACCAGATGCATCACTCCCTGGTATGGCAACTGCAGCGTCAGTGACAGGAAGAACCTGCAGTGTGTTGCTGGAACGCCAAAAAAGTTCAGGGTCTCACTTCTCTCCTCAAGAGTCAACTTTTACAGGAGATACAAGAGAAAGAAAAGAAAGTAGTGGAAAATCTTCCTTTGTTGTGGAAGAACATTATTCCATTATAGACAACTAGGATTGGCAAAAACTTCATTCCTCTGAGATGCGGCTGCTGAATCTTTAACGATACTCTCAACTCACATCCGGAAATGTTGTTTTCAAGCTGTTTTTACTGTTTTTAGACTGAACGATTCACAACACCCTGCTAAAGAGTTCAAAGCTGTTTAAGAGGGTAGGACGGGTCACCTTGATCTCCTGGAAGTGTACAGATCCTGGAATGATAACGGCTTGCACCAAACACCTGATCTGCTAGGGGAAACGATATGCTGCAATAGGTGATGCGCTTGTCCTTGGCGCTGGCAGCAGGGCAGTGTGATGGAGGACGCAACAGCAATGCAGACAGTAGGATGCAGCTCAAAGCAGGCGGCGTTTGTTCAGCTGCTGCGGGAAGGACGAGTGACGATATTTTAACTTTGACTTAGGGTCTTCTGCGATGGTCGTCCCCACAAAACAGAAGTAGTCCAAAGCTTTGAATGTAGGTCACACAAGATGATGCGTATATAAAGAACTGGGTTCCCCAACATCTCCACGGGTTTAATCATCTTGGAAGATCAATGGTGACGCGTGCTAAAACCTGACAACTCTGACTACAAGGTTTTATTTAAACATACAACTAATTAACTGAGAGATGAAGATCACCAGAGATAGCGGAGTTTAAAAAGTAGATTTTCATTGATATTGAGTTAAATTTTAGTAGCTGAGAGTCATTCAACCCAAGTGCTAACACACTGAGATCTTTAGAAAATACATGATTGTATGTTATGGGCTGCATGGTGGCACAGTTGTTGGCACTGTTGCCTCGCAGCACGAAGGTCGCAGGTTCGAAACTCGGCTGTGGCCTTTCTGCGTGGAGTTGCGTGTTCTCCCCATGCATGCGTGGGTTTCCTCCGGGTACTCCGGTTTCCCACACAGATCACAACATGCCCTATAGGTTATAAATTGTAAGTCGCTTTGGATAAAAGCGTCTGCCAAATACATAAACAATAAACATAAACATATTTTAAATTGAACAAAAAAAAAAGTTAAAAAAAATTCCTCAATTTCATAACTTTTATTTTTAGCTAGTTAGGCTTTTGATGAAGCAAAATCTTCCCTTTGTGCCTCTGAAAACCTTCTTGAGGGAAATAAATAAATATAACAGCTTACTTTAACCATAACCGTATAAAATGATGTGCCAAACTTTAACTAAAGCTTCAGTGTGGAGCAGCTGACCCTCCACAGCGTCAACGTGGCTGGGAGTGACTCAGCCGGACGGAGACGCTCCCCCGTCACCTCATTAGGGAGCAGAAAGACTCGTCTGACCATAAAGACACACATCAGCCTCCCACTCAGCAGGACAGGCGCACAAACATCCTACACACACACACACACACACACACACACACACACACACACACACACACACACACACACACACACACACACACACATCTGTGACCAGAAAGCGTTGCTGCTGGTTTTAATCAGCATTATAAGTTTTATTGTTTGTCTTTGTGAAGATATGTCTGATTTCTCATAGAGAAGTTGTGCATTTGTGGTTGTTTCTCATAGAATTTTTTTGTTTTTCAGGCTTGTTTAGAATAAAAATGAGCTTTTAGTTTTTTTTTTCTAACACCCAGGTGGATGTTTCAGCCACAGAAATGGGCAAAGTTAAGAAAAACAAAGGGCCACATTATGTTCACTTACAATTTTCCTTTTGTTGTAGTGTGCTGACCCTTTAATAGTTGGCAGAATCAAGTAACATTACTTAGTTGTTTGAAGCTGTTTTTGAGTCCTGACTCTTATTTTTAGTATCATAAAACCACCCACCTGCATTTCTGTGCATGCAGTTTAAATAAGCAACGCTTTAATTCCATGTCCATGAACCTGCTTTTGAGCCAACACACTTTTATTTGTGTTTCCTCCACATGAACTTTGTTAAAAGGAAGGGAAAGTTGCTTAAATGTGTTTCTGTTGGTCCAAATCAACGTCTCACTCAGGAAACAGAGTTAAACAATCTCTTGTTCCTTTCTGGACTGATTTCATTCAAACTAAGAGCAAAAGTAAAGGACAAATGAGAGATAAATGAAAACAGGTGGTGAAAAGCAAGAGGAATTAAGGTGAAAGAAGAGGCAGAAAAAGCCCGAGCCTACCGTCGTCTCTGGTCCGCTGAAAGCTCGGGCGGCAGGAGAACATTTAAATGTGTAGACGTGAGCAAAAAGCTGTATCACCGCCCCTCCTCTCACCCTCCGTCTGCTCTGCAGAGCTCCCACTTCTGCTTTGCTTGTCAAATCCCTGCAGGACGCATGTGTGTGTGTGTGTGTGTGTGTGTGTGTGTGTGTGTGTGTGTGTGTGTGTGTGCGTGCGTGCGTGCGTGTGTGTGTGTGTGTGTGTGCACATAAAACCCTTTCCTGTGCAGCAAAACTGAAACAGAGGAAGGGGAGGAGCTAAACCTAATAAATATGCAAGCTACAATTTGTCGCCACCTGTTGGAGATAAAAATCACCTCCCGTGGAGTGATTTGTTTATCATTTTGTGGTGATGAGTTCAGTTTTGGTTACAGGAAGTGATGATGAGTCAACAGGATGTCCTCTGAAGGAACAGGAAGACATGTGAGTGACTCACCTTGTCCCCCTGAGTGTCCATATCCACGGAGCAAGGTCTCAGCTTGATGGGCTGATCTTTGAAGATGTTTCCAAACCCAAAGCCTTGGACCTGAAAGATAGTATAAAGAAGACATTTAATGTTAAAATAATGAGTCTCCAAAGCAAATTAGTCACATTTGTAAGGATTTTTTTCAACTTCTAAAGATTTTTTTTGGTATAATTTATGATGATCTATTAACTCTGCCATCTAATTTCTTGTTTTGCATATATTGCAGGAGGTTCTGCTCGAAAACGAGATGTTACATCTTAAGCAGTTTATCCTCCTGAAAAACGTAACTTAATAAATAAATTAAATAATTGCTATTTTCACTGTCCATGGATTTGGTGGCAGTGGGAAACTCATTAAAATGCCTGTTTTCCAAAAGAAGAACAAATGAAAGAATTCAGATTTCACCTAAAATCAAAGTGTTAGCCATTAATCAAATCTAAATGAGTCTATCGTTACCATAAATAAATATAGAAGACCACCCGCCACTGGGCACTGCCTGTCTCTCTGCTGCTAAAGCTACGGATAGCAAACGCTACGGGCGATGCCTGAGCATGAGCAGCCTGCTCGACCCGAGCATCTCTCTTTTTCTGTGATTTTACAGAAAAACAGGCAATCACAGTAAAAATGCCAGGGCTCATTCTGCAGGACCAGGGCATTGCAGGAGAATGTATGAAGAAGACATTTATTATTTCTATACATGTTTTGGCTGTCAAACTTCCATAACGCCCCTTTAAATGCATCTATGGTTGGCAGCTCTGGAAGTCGAGATATCAAACTTGAGTTGATTTTTTGCACATAGTGCTGCTGAAACCTTCCGGAAAAGCTAATAACAGAGTTAAATCACCACAAAATTCAGTCAGGACCGCTTAAGATTTCCAAATCTTGCATTGGAAACACCTCTCTAAAAGCGAGTGAGAGGGGCGTGCATGACTCAAGAAAGCAGAGAAAAAATTTGTTTTGGTGAAAATTATTCAGGGGTTCTCCCAGAAATGAGCCAAATGTCACAACCAGCGCCTGATGTGGTTGAGCAGAAACCAGAACCATAAAGGAGAAGTGACGTTTCACAAAAATTCTAACTTTAGTTAGTACAACTTTTTTGTTTTTATGTAATTCCAGTACCCCAGATACCAGTTTAAACCAGTAACAGGCTTTAAAATATCCATGAAAATAGTTTAAACCAGTCAAGTAATGCTACATTTGATCAATTATTAAAATTGCTGCAATCCATTTGATCAGAATAAAATAATAAATACATTTTGAAACGAGATTCATTCATAAAGAAGGAGAATGGGATTTTTTACCTTTTTGGGCTGGATTTCTGACCCTGTTTCTGACCGACTGTCTGTTCCGTCACTTTCACTGCCGGGGCTGTCCTTGCCTACACACACACACACACACACACACACACACACACACACACACACACACACACACAGATTTTATATTGATGTTTTAAAACTGTGTTGTTTTAAAGCTAGTTTGATTATCTTTCGGAGACTCACTGGTGTGGCTGTTTCCATGCTCCTCCTGTGAGGTGGGCGTGTCCAAAGAGGGCGTTTCTGACTCAGTCAGGACCTCTTTGGTAAAATTGGAGGGAAACATTCCGACTTTCCCGTTGAGAAATCCTTCCCACCAGCCCTCCTCTACCTGGACACACACAGAGCACATCAGTACCAAAGAGCATGCAGAGAAAAATAAAGAGGAAAAATGACCTGCTTCCATCCATCCATCCATCCATCCATCCTTTGTCTGAACCCGCTTTGTCCACGTAGGGTCGTGGGGGGGCTGGTGCCTATCTCTAGCGGTCAATGAGCAATGAGGCGGGGTACACCCTGGACAGAGAGCCAGTCCATCGCAGGGCAACACAGAGACACACAGGACAAACAATCATGCACACACACACACACACACACACACACACACACACACACACGCACACAGACACACACACACAAACACAACTAAGGACAATTTGGACAGACCAATTAACCTAACAGTCATGTTTTTGGACTGTGGGAGGAAGCCGGAGAACCCGGAGAGAACCCACGCATGCACAGGGAGAACATGCAGACTCCATGCAGAACGATCCCAGGCCGGGAAGTGAACCCAGGACCTTCTTGCTGCAAGGCAACAGCTCTAACCACTGCGCAGCCAATGACCTGCTTTCTACTCATTTATTCATTTATTTATTTATTCATGTGTTCATTTGTTTGTTTGTTTGAATTTTTTGCCATAGGCAATACAAAAAAAAGCTCACATTTGCCACAAAAAAAGTACATTTTTCCCTTTTAAATATTTTTTTCTTTTATTCTTCAAATACTTCCAGGAAAATATGTTCCAATTTAAATTTCTATTTCTAAATGATTTAATTATTTATTTGATGACCATTTTTGTCTACTGAAGTCCTACACTGATTTTTGTTTTTATAATAGAAATAGTGTCTAAAAACACCATGAAGATATTTTAGGGATAAAACTTTGTTAATTTCTTTCCAAAGGAGACTCTCACCTCTGTGATGACCTCAATGACGTCTCCAACTTTCAGCTCCAGCTCATCTTCATGCTGAGGCATGTAGCTGAACGCAGCCTTACATCTGCGTTTGCGGATTTGCTCTCCTACAACACACACACACACACACACACACACACACACACACACACACACACACACACACACACACACACACACACACACACACACACAGACACACACACACACACACACACACACACACACAAAGCAGCGTTTACATGTAAACATTATTTAAGCTTCTCTAATGTGACATTAATCCCCATAATCCCGACTTTAGAGCAAAAGCAACAGGTCTTAAAATCCCCTTATGAATGATATAGTGACCTTTGACCTCTGTCAGAGAGCAGCCTAGACATAACTGACTGTAAATCCCTCCCAACTGTCCTTGCAGTGGTGTTTTAACCTCATGAGGCTTTTGTAGATTCACATCAGCAAGATTTTAACCTTAAGCCTGCAGTTTCACGTTTGTCCACAAGGTGTCACTCTAGTGCATCTCTATACATATGCTCTGTGACTTTCAGAGCATTTTGTGTGTGTGTGTGTGTGTGTGTGTGTGTGTGTGTGTGTGTGTGTGTGTGTGTGTGTGTGTGTGTGTGTGTGTGTGTGTGTGTGTGTGTGTGCGCGTGTTACCAGATCATTGGTGGGTCTTTGCAGCTTTTCTACACAAACGATCCTTTTCTTCAGGCTGATTTTGTGTTTTGCTGTTTTGAAAAACATGAGTGTATCTTTTTTAGCCTAATTTAATTTCTTCATGATCACTTTACATTCCTTTGTGACCAATTTATTATTCTGTTGACCTTTTGAGATTCTTGCTGCTTTTTTGTATTTCTGTTTAAAGTTTAGCTTTCTAATAATTACCGTTAAGATTTGTTTCTCTTAGTTTTCTGCAGCCGTTTGGTCTTTCTGAGTGCAGATTGCATATCTCCTAGCTGCTTCACTTCCTTTCTTCGTTTTGCACCGGCCATAAGATTATACATGTTATATAATACTTTGCGCTTCTCTCTGTGTGTTTAATATATATAATATTATTAATGTTTTATAGAGTGTGGTTATTTCATCTCTATTTTCTGAACATTGTTGTAGTTTGACTTTATTTCCAAAGACTTTAATCAAAACTATTATGGTTAAAGTCCCATTAGTCATCACATGTGAAATTCATCTCCGCATCTGACTTATCCCTGCGGGGAGCGGGGAGCTGCAGCTGCACTCAGGAACTATTTGGTGGTTTAACCCCCCCATTTTAAAAGTCTTTGGTATGACCCAACCGGATTTGAACCCCGATCTCCCAGTCCCAGGGGGACACTCAACCACTAGGCCACTGAGAAGGTGCAGAAGCGTAATCAATCAAGTCAGAACCGTATTGGTGACACGCTGACCCGAACACCTGACCCAAATCCTTCTTCACACTAATAGGATCAAAGCAAGCCCAAGGACTTAAAGGCTACAGAGATCAGTACCTTTCTTGCTGGGTCGGGCGCTCTGGTCCAACACGGGACTGGCCCTGCCGTTGGAAAGTTCAGACCTGAGCATGCTCGCCTGTCCTCCATCTCTCTTCCCTTCCTTCTTTATCTCCTGTGAGGACAAACAGAGGAAAAGGTGCTGAAAGGTTGTAGAAGAAAGTGGGAATGAGTGAAGTAAATATTAACCTTTTTTTTGTATTGATTAGTGTTCAAAGCCGTAAATCTGGCACCGAAACTCCACTAAAATCTCATCAAACACAAAACAAGCGGCGTTAATCTCTTCCGTCTACAGCTGCAGCTCTTCTCTCTGCTCATGTGACTTTCATTCACATAAAGAATCACAAGGCAGCATGAGAAACTGATCAAGAAACCCAGAGAAAAATCCAGTGTGACAGAGCGCTCTGAAGTGAGTCTCCGTGTTAAACGCGTAAATATCCTTCCCGAACAGCCTCTGTTCAGAGAAACAGAGAACAACTTCGAAAAACAAAGTGTATTTCTGTCATCTTAGACAACTAAATTTTGAGTTTTAGCAAGAAAACAACTAAAATGTTTTTTAAGCTTCAGATATTTTAAAGGATTATTACATGTGAGAATTTAATTATGAAGGGGTAAAGGAAGTTCTTTTGACCTAATTTCAAAGTAAAAGCACACCTATAACCCTCAGAAACAATATTAATATGAACAGAAAAACTCGTCAGATCGGGACAGCAGGGCTCGTTTCCTCTAGCAACACATAAAAAAGACTTTTTAATTTAAATTTTGAATTTCCTCTGGAATCAGTGGTTTGACTTCCAGAAAGAGTTCCCGACTTTTTCTGTAAATAGTACAGAACTTTTTCCTGGGCTACGGGTCTCAGGGGGTCACCCTGTGATCAGAACCGAGGCTCCCTCTGATTCAGCCTTTGTGTTGTTGGGTAATTCGTGTCGTTGTAGAGTGCTGACCTGTGTCGCATCCCCTGGCCTTCGTTCATTAGTCATAAACACGATTAAAACATGAGCTGTTACCCAGCTAGAACAGGACCCGACCTTCAGTCGGTCTCGCACATAGCTAAAAAAAACAACTAGGGCTGTGCCCTGTGACTGTCCACTGAGTGGGAGGAGCTTAGACGACAAATGCAGACAAACACAGAAGTTAGGGATGTTTTTGACTCATCTTCACTTTGGTGGCACTTTGAAGGGTCCAGGCCTGAGTCTCTGTATCCTCGCTCTGCTTTTGATATATTTGTATTAGGTTATTAGGGTAAGTCATTATTGGACTTATTCTGGGACAAAGCTAAAATCCTCTGTGATAAAAAGAACCAAGGATGAGAGATCTGCTTGCTGAGGAGGGTCAACACGTGGAACCTTGAGGACCGTGTCATTAGGCAACACGCTTCACCCCTGCAGGTGGTCGGAGGGACCAGTGGCTCCTGAGCACTACAGCCATGGATGTAATTTTGGGGGGGACGGGGGGACATGTCCCCCCCCCCCCTTTTTCCAAAGTCAAGTTTTGACCCCTGCACTTTTTACCATCCAAAAACAACATTACGCTATATTAAATTGACACTGGTTGAGCTCTAGGACCAAGTGGAAAACAACCGTTTGTGTTGAAGCCTGTTTCCCATTAGCGCATACTGTAAAGATTCCCCCCCCCCCTCTAAAGTGAAAATTACGTCCATGACTACAGCCTCACCTCTAGTGTGCTCCAGGACGCGTCATTCGGAATTCTAGGATGTCCAAGGAAGATCCCGCCTTTCTCTTCTCCGATTGGCTAGAAAGGCTCTACTACGATTGGCTATTTCATTTAACAGCAAACTGGCTGTCCTCCCTAAGTGCTGACTGTGTCCTTCTGCCACCAGCAGAAAGCTGTTTTGGGGAGTTTAGTAAAGAAAATGTGAACTTAGCGCTATAATAAACATTCTGTCCTGGTTTGCAAAATATTTTATGATTTATGTTCATAAAAAACTGAAAAATGGAAAATGTGAATTTTAAATCTTGTTGCCTTCACCAAACTGTTGGACTAACTTTATATCTCTTGGCTCTGAAGCACTAGAGTACACAGGATAAACACATGTGCCTTACCTGGGTGTGACATTTAATAAAACTGCCCTATTCTGCCCAGCTGTGTGCATCAGGTCGGTTTCTTTAGAATAATGAAAACTGGTGAAAAATAGGTCTAAATCATAATCAGCTGTAACTTAATCTTTGATTAAATGATATACATTTAATCTGATGATGGGAGATGTGCTCTAACTTGTAAACAGCCGTAACCTATTAAAGCAGGACAGCCTAATAAAGAAGTAATACGATAACCCCAATAGAGCCAACAAATATAAAGTCAGTCTACAGTGTGATAAAATGCTACAAGAATTATTACAAGCTCACATCTGATGTTTTTCTGGTTCTTTTATGAAAGAAACTGAATCTGGTTTGTTGCTAAACAGGAAAGGATGTTTATTATAGCGATGAATTCACATTTTCTTCAAAAAACTCCTCAACATCTGGCTGTAAACATAAAAAACCTGCAGCGAGGGAAAACTGCTTCCTCTTCCACAAAATAGCCAATCGTAGTAGAGCCCTTCCAGCCAATCAGAGGCGAGAAAGGCGGGACCTTCCTTGGACATCCTAGAATTCAAGGTCAGGACAGCTGTGGCTACGATGTAGCTCATCACCTCCAGTGTGTGAATGTACTATAAAGAGCTATGGAGTCCCCGACTTTGTATTCAGAATTCTTATCAACTTTTCATCTTAAACCTTCCTTTTTACTTTTCCTCTTGACTTGGTCGGCCAGAGATAATGCTAATGCTACTGTGGACAACCACCTGTCTGACTGTACTCCATCCCATAACATTACACATCAAGTCTCCTGTAATACAAGCGTCACACTGACATGAAGCCATATCAGTGTCATAGTATCTGAAAACTTTGATAGATAAGAGTAACCCCTTCTTTCCACGGGAGCCGTCTGCAGCACGTCTTGCTCGCGTAAGCTACTGCTCGGCCCTTCCCACGAGACGCGAAGCAGCAGGGGAGCAGCTGTCACCGACAGAGCACAAAGTCACACGAGTGACTTCGTCAGTAAACACAACAACAAGCAGGAGAAAACTACAACATGGCTCCAAAAGGTTTTATGTTCTGTCCGTTTTATAATCGCCAATACGGACCTGAAAAACAAAGGAGACCGCTAGCTAGGTGATAACTTCTCACGGGGTCGCAGTTAGTCACTTTTTTTTTAAGTAAAGCAACCGGAAGGCAGTACGTTTCTTTATTCTGAAAATCTCAGAAGCTTCGCTCCATTTCCGCGTCCGATTTCCTGTCTTTCCTTCCCCAGAAATGTTGAACTTGACCCGTTTCAGAGGCGTCGCGCGTAGAAAATAGAACCGGCGCGTAAAGGCCGCGACATGCTGCTCCTGAGACGCGTCCAACTCGCGCTGCTGACGGCTCCAGTGGAAATAAGGGGTAAAGCTACACACACACACACACACACACACACACACACATATTTTAATATAGATACCTGATGTCAGTACTGCTGAAGCCCTAGTTAGCTCTCAGGTCTTGTCCGTCTCCATGCTATCTACAGCAGGTTAGATACTGACTGTTCACAACTTCTACTGATAAACTCTCTGAAAAATCTCTTTAACAAGAAGGCAGAAGGTGACACAACAAACGGGAAGACACCAACAGAGATCCAGGAAAACAGACAGGGTTCACATCTTCCCACCACATTCATCATGACGCTGTTTTATAAGCTCTGGCCTGTGGCGAACGCAGCTCGGTGAAGCAGACGGCTCGGATACACTGACTCACCCCTCACACACACACTCGGGCTGTGAATCGCCTGGTGTGGCGCCGCGGCCTTAATGAGGCCGTATCTAAAAATATTTACAGAAAATGTTTCCTCAGCGGCAGATGAGGAGAGGTTTCGTTCTAGGAAACATTATTGAACTGAGGTTTGGGTGTGAGCACAGTGAGGTCAGTAGGACGTTTTTTAAATGTAACACAGCTTCTTCTTTGTCAAACTTCAAACCACACATTCTGCAGAGGAGATTCAGACTCCCCGCGGTTTAGAAGCCAATTATAATCCCACTCGTGGTGTCTGTGCTCCTCTTCTAACAGGAAGTGGCAGATTAAGGAGTAAAGAAATCAACAGAAACTGTCTTCTAATTAGAAATGCGTTACTAAAAAAGAAAAAGGAAAAACCTCACTGACAAGGCATAAACTATAATTAACAAAAGGACAAAAGAGGAACTTTCTTCAGCTTTTATGTGTTTTTTAAAATAAAGGCTGAAAGGTTAACCTACTCCAAACTCACTTTGTGTTTTATTGTGAAATATAGTCAATAGTTTTAATATTTTCCAGGAAAAATCCTAGAATCAATCCCTTTAAAGAACATTATTTAAAACACACAATTGGGGATATTGGTGCCAATACCGATACTGATACCAGTTCCGTATCTGTAAAAGTTAACCGACACCAATGCAGTTGCTTGAAAATGGCGTCACTGTAACTTGTCATTTCTGTTCACCTAATATTTTAGTTTTGTGGTGATTCCTATCAGATATTTTACTTTTTATCTACCTCACAGTCTTTTCCTGTTGAAAGCAGAGAGGAAAAGAAAATCTGTATTCCAAATCATTGCTTTTTTGTGTGTGGTAGAAGTATCTGTATCTGCAATCGGTATTGGCGAGTACTCAGAAGTATCGGTATCGCATCGGTTTGGAAAAAAATGGGTATCGTTGAATCCCTACACAAAATGCTAGCTGTGGTTTTAAAAGACTCTCGCTTGTTTTTCCCCCACACGTTTCCTGTGGTCTCTAATATAAATTAATGCCTTGAGAGTCTTCGTGGTGGAAAATAAACTCTGGTGCTCCTGTTTCAGGAAGCAGAAGTTAGCCGGAGGACTGAGGGGCAGAAAACCGCAGGATTATTCATTATATTTGGACATCTGACCTCCGATTGGCTGACAGCTGCCTCTGTTCGCTCTCCACAAATAAGACAAGCCTGAAGGAGTTCTGCCGTGTGGTGGAGATGCTGCTAACTGTTAGCTTCTGCTAGCCGAGATGTGCTCTGCTCTCTCCTGGCTGCCAAAGTCAACACAGCCTTCCACCGGTCACGAGGGCGGGGTTAGGGT